TTGCAGCTTCTTATAATTCATGTACCAATCTCAGAACACGCATGCACCAAATTCCTGATGAGAGGTAGGATGAAAACTTTTTATGTAAATTCTTTTCTTTTGTGTTGAATTTTCTTCGTTGAGGAAGAAAATGATTTTTCTGATAAGAGAAAACATAGTTTGTGACTAATTTATCTTCTGGACAGGCCACCTCTGAATCTTCTCCGCCAAGAATTAGCAGGAACTTGCATATATCTTGACATCTTACAGAAAGCAACTTCTGGGTTTAGTGCCAACAAAGAGGCACTTGCAGAAACTAACGCTTCTCAGAATGTTGATATTATAGAACATTCTAATGATGAAGAGAAAGTCGAAGGATTAGCAGAAGAGAAACTTGTATCTTTCTGTGAACAGGTACTCCGGGAGGCATCTGATCTGCAGTCCGGCTCTGGGGAGACGACTAATATGGATATTCATCGTGTTCTGGAGTTACGATCTCCCATAATTATCAAGGTATGAAGTGCCATATGGATTATTTGTGGGGCATGATGTAATTTTGAAACCCTAATTTGATTGGTTTGGTGGATTCACCTCAATGTCTTCGGATTTCACCCCTACACACGAAATTCCACTCTCCTCAATCGAATAGAAAGCCCCAAGGGCGCCATATTCTAGGAGCCCAAACTTTGTGATTGAATAACTCTTCCTCTATCTGTTGTGCTTGTTTATTGGACAATATATTTGTTGATTTCCCACAAGATTTGTATATTGTAGGTATTAACAGGTGATATTATCCTTACTCTTTTGGTTTTTCAGGTGCTTAAAGGCATGTGCTATATGAACCAACAGATTTTCAGAAGGCATCTGAGAAATTTCTATCCTTTGCTTACAAAACTTGTTTGCTGCGATCAGGTAAATCTCCTCTTTCCATGTCAAGGTCCGTAATAACATGGATTTGTTATTTGATACTGCCATATCCATCCCTTGGTGCCTCTAAATTTGGTATTTCATGCTCTTACAGCAGTTAATTACTAATTAGAGATTATTCTGGAAAAAACTTATAATTGCTTGATTCGTTCAGATGGATGTTCGTGGAGCTCTTGGTGATCTTTTCAGGGCACAACTGAAAGCACTTCTGCCATAGTTATATATATATATATTCCCTATCTGTTGCCACTTTGACAAGAGTCCCCTGAAGGAATGATTCGCTAAATCACTGCTCCAAAAACCGATTTTTTTCGGCTGATATTCTTTTATCCCTGTGCCTATAAAGAAAATCTCATTTATTATGATAGAGGTAGTTTTCAGTTCACTTTACCCGGTAAATTTTGTTGTAATGATCTTGATGTAGTAAAAAAGGAAAAGAAAAAGAAAGGAGAGGACATGATTTTTTCGAATTGGCCTTTTATTGTTTCATCTCCAATTTTTGCTGTGGTGTAATCTAAGTAGCATACGATTAATTAATCAGATCCAATGCCAGCAAACAGATATCATTAGTTACAAAATCATTTCATTGAATATGTTGAGAACTTTTTTAAGCTCATGATTATTTTTGTCGAAAATAAAGATCAGATTATTCATCTTATTTTTCACAAAGTGGCTTTCTGCCCCATGGAGCTTTATAGTCTGGCAAACATTCGTGTTGGGTACAGTGCATGCCTTCTATGTGGGTTTTTGGCTTCCCATCCAGGAAGTGTTTGGCACAAAAAAAACTAGTTTACGAGAAGTTCACTCTATTCTTTTCTTGATGGATTACTCTCTCCATTAAAGTAAGGTCATGAATCACTCAAAAGGGTTTCCTTCCCCTCTCAGAATCCAGTTTCTACTTGAGCATCTCTGTGATTCCTTGCCTTTCCTCTCATAAAAGTACATTTCTCAACCTTTAGGTTTGTTAAATTCAAAAGCAGTGCTTCTTATACGTTTCGAGCTAGTAGAAATATGCCTGAAAACTGAGGTTGAGAGGCAGAAGAAAACATGGGTTTTAGCTACTTGTGGGTTTTATTGCTCTGCATAATTGGGGAGGGTTTGGTGAAAGGGGTCCTTGGAGTTGGTGGCTTGGCATGCAACTGGGGAACCCGTTCTACGCATCCATTGCCGCCTAGTATAGTTGTCAAGCTTTTGAAGGACAATGGGTTCAGCAAAGTGAAGCTCTTTGAAGCTGATCCTGGGGCATTGCAAGCTCTTGGGGGAACTGGTATCCAGGTTATGGTGGGTATACCCAATGAGTTATTGGCACCACTTGCTAGCAGTGTTACTGTTGCTGAGAACTGGGTGTCTAAAAATGTGTCATCCTATATATCCAAAAACGGCGTCGATATAAGGTAAAAAGACTTGAAGTTTTCATGTTCTTATTTCTAAAATTTTGAACTCTTGTCGTAAGTGTGAGGTTAAATGCTCTTTCTTTCATTCCCTGTATGTTGACACATATACATGCAAGTTGGCACTCATCACCCGTAATAAAAGTTTCAAATTGGCAGGAAATAGAAACAAAAGCTTTTGGAAACCGAACAACTACAAAAGAAAGAATATTTTCCAAAGTAATGATTGATTAACAATTAATATTAAACTGAATTACTTTTTGACATTCAAATCTATGTAGGTATGTGGCTGTGGGCAATGAACCTTTCCTCAAAACCTACAAAGACACTTTCCTGCAAACCACATTTCCAGCTCTCCAAAACATCCAAGCAGCCCTGATAAAAGCAGGGCTAGGGAGACAAGTGAAGGTGACAATTCCCCTAAACGCAGACGTTTACCAGACTGACAGCGGCCTTCCATCCGGAGGCAACTTCCGGTCCGACATCCACACCCTCATGATGTCCATCTTGAAGTTTCTCAGTGACAATGGTGGTGCCCTCACCATCAACATCTACCCTTTCCTCAGCCTCCAAGCTGATCCCGACTTCCCCAAAGAGTATGCCTTCTTCAACAACACTTCAAAGCCCGTTGTCGATGGCTCCATCTCATACACCAATGTGCTTGATGCCAACTTTGACACCTGCATTGCTGCCCTTGAAAAGAATGGCTTCTCCTCATTGCCGGTCATCGTTGGGGAGGTTGGATGGCCAACGGATGGTGACCCTAATGCTAACATAGAAGACGCCCGGCGGTTCAATCAAGGCCTTGTGAGCCGCATAGTTGCAGGGCAAGGCAGCCCAAAGAGGTCAACCCCACCTGACATTTACATCTTCGGGCTCATAGATGAAGATGCCAAGAGCGTCCAACCTGGGAATTTTGAGAGGCATTGGGGGGTGTTCAATTTTGATGGCTCAATCAAATACTCATTGGATATTGGTCGTGGAAAAGCCTTGGTACCAGCAAAAGGGGTGCACTATTTGGCCAGGAAATGGTGCATAATGGCACCCGATGCAAGCCCTTCAGACCCCAATTTGGTTCAGAGCATCAACTATGCTTGCTCTTATGCAGATTGCACAAGCCTTGGATATGGCTCATCTTGTGGCATGCTTGATGCTAGAAGCAATGCCTCTTATGCTTTCAACATGTACTACCAAACCATGGATCAGCGCAAAGGTGCTTGTGAATTCTCCAATCTCTCTGTCACCACAACTACGGATCCATCTCCAACTCAAAATGGTCAGAATCGTACCTGCCGATTCGAGATCATGATTGATGTGGGAAAGCATGAAAAGCCTCGACGACCTCCTTCTTCACCGGCTGCGGGATTAAGGGAGCACAATTCCCACAAAGTTGTGATGGTGTTACTTGTCCTTGTCCTAGTGTCCACATTGATGATCTAATTTCCACCATCTTTGTATATTTTAAGGGTTACTTACTTGTGAGTGAATCAATTCATTTTTTTTTTTAATACCTTAATTTCTGTTCTTGCCCACATAAATCCCCTTCATATGGAAATAAAAATGATGCTGTTCTATGAACCATGTTAGCTGATAAGTTACATTATTAATTATGATTGCTGAACTGACAATTACATAAATTGGAGATAGATTCAAATACAAATTTCTTTCACCCAAAATACAACTATTCATGATACAATAGTCTCATACAAATCCAATTTTGGTGAAACTCACATACAACACTATTTAGGTATACAACAATCTCAAACAAAATTTTTCCATAACATGAATAGTTGTATTTTAAGAGGTGGTTTACGTCTTCCTCTATTAAAGATGTTCTTATTGTGACAATCACAAAATAATTAGTGTTATTCTTATTGTGACTAAACACAAAATAGCATCAATTCTCTTATCCGAAGCAACCCATAATGGAATATAACACCTTTTTTTATTATCCTTTTTTTAATGGCCAATAAAACGCAAAATAATAGAATAAATTGTGAATAAAGACCGTTGGATCTTATTGTTGTGGACCCCTTGACATATACACTTACGAAAAGGTAAAGAACACAAAATTAAAGAAAACTTAAAAAAAAAAGAATAAAGAAGAAGAAAGGTTGCAAATGGAGGCAGGGAATCTATTTGCTCTTTTTATTAGAAAGGTTTTAGATTTATGAGGTCTCACAATCAAATTGCAAAATGAAAATCGGAAATCAAGGCAGAATTTCCGCATTAACCAGTAATTAATTCTCAAAACTCAAATTACTAAACTAAATCGAATAATTATTAGATTTTTTTTTGCAATTTATACGATTGGATCGCAGAGTTTTGAGAGAAACAAACAAGAAAGAGCATCGAAAGTTCAACACTAAATTTTTATGCTTTCTGGATATACGTAAATATTCTTTGGATTAACATTCCCATCTTCGTGTATTTTTTCGCAGACGTGTCGCGAGTTTTGACTGGAAGTTCTCAGATTTTTGCAATCCCAATGGAGAAGACAGAAGAAGCTTAGCGTAACGTTTCGGGGTTGGTGCCCAATTTGGCAATTTTTAGGGTTTATGCGATTTTTCTGAATGGTGGGGTTGCGGGGTTGAGGGGCATTTGCGCATCGTTATGTTGTTTTTGAAAAAGCAAGGCGGCTTGCGCTTCTTCACAAACTTAAAGCACCAAACTTTACTTCATCATCATCAGTTTACAGAGGCTATGGCTGCTCATTTGTATAACCATGGTAGCTACAAAGGGTTTCAAGGCCGAGCTCAATGGCCGCCATCCCATTTCTCCAGAGACCACTCTTGCAAGTATGCAACTTTTCCTGGGAAAATCAGGAATACGAGGAACACACGCCTTGGCCGCAATTTTTTCGTAAAAGGGTGCTTCAAATCACAGCATCACCACCATCAGTCTCATAGCAGTAGCATAAAGCGTCACAGCAATGCCTTCGAGAATCCCAATGCTCAATTGGTTCATGATCTTGAATTGGACCTCCGCAGCTCTGATGCCATTGGATTGGCCTCCTCTAATGGTTGCCAGGAGCGTGGAAGCCACACTGGAATCCCTCCCCATTCTTTGCCCGATGATAAAATCGTCGTTGCTGTTGATGTGGATGAGGGTATGTAATGCATGCATTGATTGCCATTTTCTGTTGTGATCATTTTGTTCTATTCTCTATTTTCCAACTTGGGTTTGTCTTGATTTATCAATAGATACAAACTTGAGCTTGTCTTTTGCTGATTTATGTTTATTCTGTTTTTGATGAGCAGTGTTGGGAAATTTTGTGTCGGCTCTCAACAGGTTTATTGCTGATCGTTACTCCTCCCACCATGCAGTTTCAGAGTACCATGTCTATGAGTTCTTCAAGGTATCGCCTGCTAACTAATTGAGTCAATGAGTCTGGACAGCTTCATTTGATTGTTGGTTGTTTCCTTGTGTCCCATATCTCAGAGTGCAAGTAGATATGACCCATCATTTCAATGCTTTAGCATTGTTGATATAATAGCGAACTATGACTAGTTTCCAGGATTGAGCATGCCATGTTGCTAACTTACTTTTCTTCCTGCTTGACTATGCTAGTTTACATTGTGATCTTATGTTTTACATTTCAGCTGTTTTCTTGGGTTGTGATATGGTAATGTTTGCTTGCCTCCTGCATATCTCCCACCCTTATTGATTGAGTTGAGTTGAGTTGATTTGTTACTCCAGCAATCTGAGTTCTTTAGTATGTGGTTTAAGGTGCCAATTCTCTTTGGCAGCAAGCTTCAAGGATATATATTAACATTTTCTGCTCCCTTTTCTTTGATTAAAAAAATTCCCTGGGCATATTCTGATGCATCATATTTTTCTGTTACAGATATGGAACTGTTCTCGTGATGAAGGTACTACGTATGCTTCACTTTTTTTATTATTACTATTTTCAGATTATTTGGGATGTTATCATCATCATCGTCATCAGCATTATCATTGTCATCATGATCATCATTTATGACACGAGAGGACTTTTATCAGCTATGCTAGTTGGCACTTTTTATGAATTACAGATTGTACATGAAACTAACCTACCTAATTCCTAGTTTAATACTGTTTATTGGATATTGAAAATGGAACTTGCATTTGAATCACCAGGTTCATTTGGTTTCATGGTCAAATTTCTTATTGCATTGATTGTCGTTTTAATCAGACATATGAACTGACTAACTGACAGCCTTAGAATAAATTTATCTTACTTTTGTGAACATTTGATCTATATTTTATTTTTTGTGTAATATGTTGGATGTTGATAACATTTATTAGAAATGTACTCTCCAACTGATAAATGTTTTTAGGGTTCTATGTAAAACATTTTACGTGCACTTCTTTTTCTGTCACATCTTTCTTCCTTTCTTTAAAGCATTGCCATGATTGGTAATATCTACTTTGTTTTGACAGCCGATATTCGTGTGCATGAGTTCTTTAAAACATCATATTTCAAGACCGGGATCCACCCACTCCCAGGTGCTCAGGAGACAATTCATAAGTTGTCAGGATTTTGTGACCTGTCAGTTGTGACGTATGTACAATTAGCAGAGTTAATTTGTTATTATGTTTACCAGAGCTTTGACTAACTTAATCTTTTGGCATCTACGTGCATTAATAGGTCTAGACAGAATGCAATTAAGGACCACACAATTCAATGGATTGAAAAACATTTTCCAGGACTGTTTCAGGAGATTCACTTTGGCAACCACTTTGCTTTAGATGGAGAGTCTAGGCCTAAGTCAGAAATATGCAGGTATGACCGTGAGCCACTGTAGATAGTTTGATGTCATGTATTCTAAACTTCTTTGTATGCATCTTTTGAAGCTTGTTCTTACTTTATGCTTTTAGAACCTGCAAATCCGAAATGAATGTGCAATCACCTACTATACATATGATAGTTCCTCTATGTTCTGATGAAATGTACTTGCCAGGTCCTTGGGAGCAAAGGTTCTAATTGATGACAATCCAAGATATGCGCTTGAATGTGCTGAGGCTGGGATCAGGGTTCTTCTTTTTGATTATGAGAACTCATATCCGTGGTGCAAGACTGAGTCAATTATTCAACACCCCCTGGTCACCAAGGTTCATAACTGGGAAGCAGTGGAGAAGCACTTAATGACATGGATTATTTCATAGTTTTTCTTACAACCAAGTACAAGATTGACCACCAATTTGTCAAGATATATTGAATTCATTCTAATGCATGAGAGCATCAGATGGATGCTAAAGAAAGTATTGTTGATGAAGAAACTCCATAGTCTCTAGAGACCTGCCAAGTAGGGTTGCTCAGTGAGTAGGAGAATGATGAGAAGTGATAATATCTTCTTATCATTTCGCCCTATTCTGAAAACTAGGTGTCAGAATGCTCAAAGTCAACAGCTAGGGCTTGGTTTCTTTTCCTTTTCTCCTTATATTACATTTAGAAGAGAATAAGGTAGAAGGAAAACTGGCAAGTTGTAAATATGGATGATGACGAAATGCTCAAATAATCCAAAATTTTCAAACATTGAATTTTGATCTTGTTTTATTCTGAAGTGGAGCCCCGCCCTGCCCCCCCTCTCAAATCACCACCACCACCACCACCACCACCGTATTCACTCAATGGCAGCTTTTCAAAAATAGGATGCCAGTTGTTTGTTTTGTTTTGTATTTGCCGTTGCTGCTTCTGCTGTTGCTAGTAGAATATTGAGAAGTCAAATTTTGTTCTAACCTTGATGTTCTATATTTGACAGACCATGAAAATGCATGTTCATATTGCGTATTGAACTTATGAATTGGCCTCTTTTGAATTAGATGCACAAAGGTTGTAGTACATCATTATACTAGAAAAACAATTCTTGCAATATGTTGGTTACACTTCACTATTCAAGCTCATGCGAACCCTTTTTCCATCCCTGACCTGAAAAGTCACCAAGAATATGAAGAACCATTGTTCAAATCCATTGTTCACAAAGTTATTTTGCTGACATTAATGTAGGAATAGGGAGCTCCTCTAAGTTGCAAGCGCTCTTTCCACAAAACTCGGGAAGGCATTGCAAACCCATCATTGGAGCCCTGCCACATAATTGTATCAAACTCTCCCTTTCAAGTATCTATGCTCCATTGCAGTCAAGCAAAACGAGGCACTAGTTGTGCATCGAATATCTGGTGAATAGCTGCATCTACACAGGAAAGAGGTAGGGGGATTGTTCGGGTCACTCGATCTTTTCCATTACCTTGATGCCATAAGCTTGTATTATATCCATGGCTGCATTACCACAAACAACTCCAGTTAAACTGTTGCAGCCAATGAAATTTCATGTCTAAAAAGGCTAAATAACAAAAGAGAGACCTAGAAGTCTGATATAAATGTCTATGATAAGAGCTTTATTATAGAACACCAAACCAAACGAAAACAAGAGCAAGTGGTTACCTGGGACATATACTTCTGGTTCAATAGGCCTCAAGACCCCTCTTGTTTTGACCTTGTTTCCAAGTATGAGCTGCAAAAGAAGTAAACTTGTTTAGGCATTACCTCACTTCATGGTGTAGAAGAACAGAAACGTATATAGTAAGTACCAGAGCTCCAATGGCTGCCGGGATGCCAACCGTGAAAGCCATGGCGGTGATCATTTTACCATTCTTAGTCTGCCCAAATTCCAGTAAAGTGCCTGAATGCTTCTCTCTAAGTCCATCTGGGAACTCAACCTCTACTTCATGATGCAAAAGCACCATATCCTGACCACAAATCACACAAGTTCCAATAACACATAAGTTTGGCAATATAGATAGGAATATAAAAGCCGTCTTCGGTATAAAATGACTTGGCTGTGCCAATCCTGTTTTATCTACTGCTAAGGAGTTTACCTGTTCTGTGCTGGAGTATGCTAACCTGTCTTCCATGAGGAGACAACTCACATCAAATGCACTTCGGCAGGAGGCAGGGATTTCTTTCTGATCATGAAGTCCCAAAAATCTATTCGAAAACGGAGAAAATTTCCAGCCATTTCAGTCTTAGTCTATAAAATCTGAGCACACAATAAGAACGGAAAGAAAAAGGGGTAACAGATACAATGTGCATACGTTATGGTCTTGGCTGCCCTCAATGCAGTTTCTTGATCTTTGCAGTATCCAAGCTTGACAATCCTTTCATGGATGACTTTCTCTCCTATCAAGGGTCCATCCAGATCTTCACTTTCGATTTTGAGAAGTTCAGACAAAAATTTCCTGAATGTGGGTCTCTTTCCATCCTTGAGAAGTGGATGAGGATCGGATTCGAATAAACCAATTCTTGACAGTGTCCCCATTATTTCTCCAAACCCTATGCAAAATAATTGTTCGTAAGTTCCATGAACGTCATGTAACACCCTGAACTAACCACCTGATGCATCCCTGTCTTCAGTTTTTGTTCTCTCTACCATGACCCATGTTACCCTATATAACAAATCTTACTTGACGACTCTCAAATCTATCAAGTTTTCTAGTGTGACTCTAAACATTAGCTTAGCCTAAAAGACGAACATGTCATACCTTCATAGCGCAAGGTTCCACGAAAGACGGTTGAAGCTTCATGTCCTATTCCATACAATTCCCCATAAACTAGTGAGTTACGATTTGGGAGGCATTCCAGCGCGAAAGCTGGTAGGTTGGGAATCCGTTGTTTCACAGCTGAATCATAGAGATTCATTCCTGAAGTTTTGTAACGTAAAGTGAAGGAGTGAAAACAGACCTCCAGAAAAATCAATGCATCCTTGTAATATGTTACTGGCTAAAATATTTCAGAATTATGTGAGGCTGGCTAACTCTTTGAGCAGAGAAAGGACAAATCACACACATCTAATTGAATCCTTGGACTTATCATTTTTTCCCTCATCATTAACAACTTACCATCAACTTGTACAATTTCACCCCTAGACTTGTACGTGGCAGGATTGCGCCCGGCTCGAATAGCTCCTGCAGGACTCCAACTGAAATGATTGATCAGTAGTAAGTAACTCCAACTAAAACTAGAAGCTAGGGTTATTACTTAGTAAGGATAAAATCTCAGTCACATATATACTTGTCCAATCCAAATTACCTGAATTTGTACCTAATGGATTGTTTGCTGCAGCTGGGGATGGGAGTCCACCACAATACGAGGTGAAAGACCGGACTTTCCCCTTACGGACATGTGCTTGGTTGATCATCTTCATTGCCATCATATGATCTGAAGTAGGACAAAATCAAACTAATAAATGCTTAATCTAAAAAATGGTAAGAAAACAATAAACCTGATGAAAAGTGTCTAATGTAATATATCACATCCAGTAGAGTTTAAAAAACACTCCATTTCTATTGGACATGTAGGCTGTTCAGAGAGACTGGTTACTGTCTGTTTATCATTCATATTGTCAGCAAAATGATTACCTATCCCAGGGTCCAAGCCCATCTCACCAAGAATCGTAATACCGGCACTCTTTGCCTTTTCATCTAGCTTTGACATTGAATCATCAACATAGCTAGCAGTGACAAGATGCCTTTTAAGCTGCATGAAGACAGAAACTTTTCCTTAGCTCAAACTGTAGGAAGAAAGGCAAGACCAAAAAATAAAGGAAAGAAAGAAATATATATAAGTAAATATAACGTTGAGACAATGTAAAGTACCTCAATACATGCATTTGCTACAGTAATGTGGCAAAAAGCTGGCAGTAAACTTATAATAAGTTCAGCCTGCAAGAGGGAATAAAAGAAAGCAACAATGTAAGGCCGTAATTGAAGGTTAATCTTGAACACAAGGAGAAAGGAGCAGCTAATTGTCATGAGTTCATATTAGAAGTTAACAAAAACTGCTCTTTAAAGCATTAATGCAGCACTTTGCGGTGCACCTTGCTGCATACCAGTTTTACAGTGTATCACAGTGTACTGCAGAAAAGTCATTTTACCTCTGATATATACTTATGAAGACTGCCAGTATCCGTCACATCAAGTTGAACTGCTCTTGTATTTGGAATACCTTCAGTAATCTGCACCGAATCTTTCAGTATCAAAATATTCAAAAGCAAAAGGACAAGACAAACATAAAGATACATACAAAAATTTGCACATCATGCTTGGAAAAGAAAAATGTACATTCTCATAAAAAAAGTTGAAATTAAGATGACCATCGTAGGATTTAAAGCAGGTTTTTTGCAATAGAAAAATAATTTTGGTCAGTTATACCTCTTCAGCATCCTTTAGATAGAGAGATGCAACAGTAACTTGCACATCATTCTTCTCTTCAAAATCATCTTCCAGGCATGCTTTACACCACTTCTGGGATGACATTTCGCTAATTGATGCTAACATCTCAGCAGCTGGTTGGCATACCCGGCCTGCGCCAATTATAAGAACCCCAACCTTTCTTTTCGTGCCATTTTCCTTCATAGGACTCTCCTGGACTTTACCAATCCTCAGAGAAATCTTATTTTTTTCTTGCTTTAAATCATAATTTTCGTTTGGATTAGCAAGAGAAGTTAAAGAGTCGATAATTTGATCCAGAACTGCCCTATCATCTGCACCCACCTGTTCATATCAAGAAAATTATAGTTTCAACTTTCATCAGACGAAAATCATAGCAGAACAAGTACACTCAAGGGAGATAAGCCATTTCTTACAAAAAAAAAAATTTACAAACAGTGGTTATAAACATCCTTCACATTTTGCACGCTGCTTTTATAGTGTGAAATTGAATTTAAAGACAATATATACTGTAAGGAAAAAAAAACTGAAGAAAACCTCTCTCATAATCAAACTTGATGTACTTACTTCAAGCTCTGAGAATGACATAGAATTAGAACATTGACCCACGTCACACTTAACCAAATGAAAGGAGCCACCTGCAGCTTCAATAATATCTAAGGCCTCATTTATCAGAAATTGATCAAATAGGTGACCACTGAGAGATACCTGTCATTTATGATTACATTCAGCAATGTTGATTAGGAGATAGTCTAACACAAGTTTAGGATAATTAGGATAATTCATATAATCTTTGGCATGAGAAGACGAGCAACATCCAAAGATGTAAGAGAAATAAAGAAACTTACTGATATGTTATACTTCTTGTTAGATTGGTGCTTAGAAGGACTTTTTAATATTTCTCTGCAAATCAGAAAAGATAATATATGCTTATTGTAATACTCAAGAAAAGCATAGCCTCATAGGGCAATTATCTCCAAGATCAATTCAGAAACTTTTTTACACAACTTAAGAATGCACGTTACAGATTTCTGACCAAGTAATCAGTTTGCTGTGGTTTGAGACTGAACCTTTTTCTTTTTTGACAAAAAAGAAATATGAAAGAGACAAAACTCAGTTCTTCCAAGCTGAAGAAAATTACTAGTTATGAATAACTTACTGCACCCGATTATTAAGAAAAAAGGAGCGAAAGGCAAGAATATGCCCTTGCCTGAGATGGAATTGAAACTTACTCTGAGCCAGATTTTCTCATACGTGTAATGTATTCATACAATGAGGTAAGTACTCCTCCATGGGTTATGCAAGCTCTCGTCAAGTGTCCAGGTATCTTTGTGATGTCTCTTGTAGAAGCCAAATTACCAACAAATTGGGACAATATGTCTCCAAAATGTTGGGAAGCCTTCACAAAAATAAAATGGAATGCTTTATTAAATAATGAGAACTGTAATTTATGGCTTTAAATTATCCTAGAATTGTTGCATTTGCTAAAGAAAAAGCCAGTCCCATCCATGAAAGTACTTCACCTCTTTTGCAAATTCCGTTGGAAGAATGTCCACAGCTTGACATATCAAGCCAGCCCCATCCATGTCGTGATGGTAAGAATCATTCATAGGATCATATCTGTAAACCATGATTGAACATATTAGAAATAAATGGTAGAGTATGTGAAACGGATTGAGATAAATATATATCCCACATGAATCAAAGGCTTGATACAGCAGAAATAAATACCAAGAGAACTGTTATTATCAGAGCTGGAAATTCTATGTCTAGAGCAAGTGCATACATTTCAAGGTTGTATTCATGCATGAATCTATCGATGTTATAACTTATACCTGAAGAAGGGTGAGTCAATGGGCGTGGTTTGGTTGACAAATTCTATAGATCCCCCTATATCACAAGTTATATCAGAGATTCCAATAAGCTTACATCCTTTCCTCATTAAATCTTGAAACTGCTTGGTACTCAATAAGCGAGGAAATCTTTTCTCCCAATACATGCAATTCACTGCCAGCCAAAAAACAGAAAAAAAAGAAGCAGAAAAAAGAAGCTTAAAGAGTGCATTTAATAACCATAATATTTCAAGAATCCCTTCTTAATTTATAAGCCAAGCGAGGCACTTACTAAATGACACTAACCCAAATGATTTGTCTCAAAAAGTTGATAGCAGAGTGTAAAGCATACCAATTACAGATGTATAAGGGGCTATTCTTTCATGGAAAACAGGGCTGTAGTGTTCTGGATGTGCATAATAGTCAGCCTGAAATAAATTCAGATGTTTAAAGTTCTTTCTGTTATAAGTGTTCAGGATCCGGAGGATCTAAGAAAAAGTAAATCGAAGATCTATTAATAAAATGAACAAATGCAAAATAAGATATGAATATGAGGGAATTTACTTTGTCAAATACTCTTGTGGAATCTTTGTGTTGAACCATGTCTTTACTAGTCACAACACAACCATATACGTGGAAGACCCTTTTCGATGATCTTGTAGGTTGAGCAGCATCCTTGTCCTAATAAAAAAGAAAACTTAGAAAGCTAATACCAAGAAGGCATGCCATATGTCTGTGCAGGGGTGTTAGCACCTAACATTTTATCCCTCTCAAGTCTGAAGTCACTGAGAACCTGGTTAGAAGTGCCCTTTTTTTCTCCTATTATTCTTATCTTACAGGATCCAGTTGGAAGCATCAATAGTAAATCCACAATTTATGTGCTGGTTTGACGACTTACTGTCCCAGATAGCTCTGGAAGTCTGCTAGGATCCACAAAAGTATGAGGAAGAAGCTTAAATATCTCTTGCGCGCCAGAAGAAACTACAGGAAAGATAGTTACATCAGAGCTATTATGATACTAGATTTTTTGTTTCATAAGAAATAGTAAAATCCTGCATCATGTGAACTGACTTATACTAAAAATGGTGCTCTGCATAAGAACTTGAAAACAATATCAAATTAAAAATGTAAATAAGTGAGACAAAAGAACTCTGCAATTCACCTATGCAATGTCAAAATTTTAGTTCTTGAGTTGCATTTGCAGAAAGTTGCCTAGTAACAGAATGTTGACAATATTGTTAATGTTTATGAGAGGAGATTTATATGCAATGTACCGTTTCCTGAACCGGTGAAGACAAAGACCAGAGGGCAGATTCCTGATGGTAGTCCCAGAGTTGCTATCTCTTCACCCACGGAAATCACTGCAGCCTTGGCAGCAGCCAAGGACGTATACATATAAGATGCACCCAATGAGAGGAACGGTGTTGAATATCCAAGACTTAAGTATCCTTGACAAAGAAAAGAAAGAATGAGAAAAACAGAAAGAAGGTTTAAAAAATGAATGCAATACCTCACATCCAAAGTACCAAATCTCAAACACCAATACAGCTAAAGAAACCACATAGGAAAGTCCAGCTCATGGACCATCCCAAGCTCTAAAGTTGCATGCACTGAAAAGTAAACTAAAGCAGCAAAAACTTTTCCCTGAACAACAAATTCAGCCAGAGCATATGAATCCAGTAAGTAGTTGAAAATTGACATTGTATGAAACAGAACATACTCTGTCCTAACCCGCGCAGGAAGTCGATAAATCCGGCTCTACCAGCATACTTTCCAAATGCAAGTAGTCTTTTCCCCTGATCCCCCACGATAAGCTCGTAATCATAGAGGGACACCCTTTCAGCTAGGATCTGCACACCACAGAAACAGTGATAAACTGGTAATGAAGCAAAACATGGTATTATAAATCACTGCCCTGCTCTTAACATATGCAAATGCAAACAAGACAAGACCTTGTCTAAGAGTGGCATGTTTTCCTTCTGAGCCTTGTGAGTATGAGAGAAAAATGCAAAGGCTCTATCAGGAAGAATCATCTCCAGCTGCACCACAAGTCCAAAGCCAATCAATTGTGTCAATAAATTGGTGACCCATTGACAAACTTGATGCTATATTACGTTGAAAGCAAAGCAGAAAAAAAGAGTGCAAAAAATAGTACCTTGGGCTGTTTGATGCCAAGGATGAGGCCGCATTGGGATAAATCCTCAGAGATTTCACACCCAACATCCTCATACATTGCATCATGGTGGATGCGCTTTGTGGAGGGCTGCACTATGATGCGGGCAACCCCAGTTTTGTCTCTGCCACTGTGGAGCAGCCTAGCACAGTGAGATGGAGTCAAAGGTGCTCTTCTCTCCCACTTGTTCACTGACTCTGACAAAATCCCCACCACCCCATTTCCAAGCATTTTTCTTTTTCTGAAGCTTTGTGATCTTCCTCTGCCTTAATTTGATCACTTTCTAGCAAGAATCAAGATCAATCAAAACAAAAACCCAAAACCAAGATCAAAGATCCATACATCACCACCACCAAAACTCTTTCAACAATTCAAAAAGACAAAACTCTTTCAATTACCCTGCAGAAGAAAATCATGCAACTTGGTTTTGTTGGTTTTTTTCTCTGTTTATCTGTGTAGTTGGTATCAGAGTCTGACTGAGAAAGAGAGTAATTATTGATGAGAAAGAGACTGATAAACCAGAAAGAAAAGAGGAGGAGGGTGAATTAATTGCTAGTTTGCTAAAGTGACAAGTGATCACAAGAAACAGTTTTGATGATATGGGAAATTGGTGCTTTTATTTATTTATTTGTTTTTGTTTTTGTTTTGTATGATTCAGGAACGAGTCATGTGTCTGATCCCTGCCCTGATATCTGTGGAAATGTATAAAAAATACACACAGACATTATACATTTATGAAATTATGAAATTTCACTGTCTGAATATCCTCGTCATGTCATGGTTTCCCAAAGGTTCAGTCAGCTTCAACTTTCCAACTGGATTGCGCCACGTTTGTTCCCGCATGTACGGTGACGTAACGAACTTCCTCTTCTTTTGGTTTGCTTTGCCGCTCGGGACAAGTTATATATGTATACATATCGGACACGTGGGTTGGTGACTTGTTCGGATTGTTTGGTCCTTTTTTCTTGGGCACTAACCTTAGCGTTAATTGGTTGTCTTTTTCAATTGACAAATCACGATTGGATAACTATTAACATCGAAAGATAACTTCGTGGGTGATTGTATATGCACCCAACAAAAATGGATTCACCCACTCAAATTTATTTTAATAATAAATTAATTATATCTCTAGATTTTAATTTATTATGTGTTCATTAACACATTATTTTTGGAATTCTTCCCATTCATGAACATGGGCGAAGTGAGGCCCATGCCACAAGTGACCTTGACTTTCCCTCATTACATCTATAACATATAAAGGAGACAATAGAAAAATTGATATAAGCCTAAATAAGTTTTCTTTTCTTTTCTTTTTTTCTTTTTGAGAAGATGCTCTGTAAAATAAAAGCATTCTAAAAAAGTACAAAAGATAGCAAAAACATAATTCGAAACCTAAATGTGAAAGGCAGGGAAATCTTAAAAATGAATCGCGACATCAACCAAACACACGAGGGAAAAAGAAAAAGAAAAAAAGGAAGTAAAAAACAGGAATCCTAGACACCTTTTCAAAACTACTTACAAGGAATATGAATCACACCCTACACAAAAGCAAATAAGGAAAAATAAAGACGTGTAAATCGAAAAACTAAAAGAAATAAGTAAAATACACAGTTAGTGTATATCTTTCCTTTGTCAAACTACTCAAATCAATGAGAATGGGAAGCTGTGGTGGAAGGTGTCGTTTTCATATTTTGTTCATTTTCTCGTGTTTCCTAAAAGTCGTTTCACTTGTATTCTAAGCAAAGACGAAAAGTTAAAATAAAAAGGCGCCCCAAGCAACTAAAATAATTCAAGATTTTCTAGGTAGCGGGCTCAAGATTTGGCATTGCAGAAGTTGCAGGAAAGAAAGTTATATTATAGGGGCTTTACCATATAACAATATCTCCCCATACGCCGGAATTACCAACGCCACGTATGGGGTCTATCAACACTTCGGAAAATCCTACGACACGTGTGACCTCTCATCTCATATTACACGATGGTGCTTATGGTGGAATCAAACATCTTAATAACTTTATAATATATATTTCCCCCAATAAAATACTAATCATTATTTCCAATTTCTTCTAGACACACGTCCTGCAAGTTTGGTCCAGATCGGACGGTTACATCACTTACGATTGCACGATCGGACGGTTATTGAAACCCTAGCCCTAGGGTTGGCATTTCCAAAGTATCCAAGACTCCGTTTTATGATTCGTCGAATCCTATACGATCCTAGGGATGTCTAGATTAACCTATAATAAACTCAAGACCATCCAAAGGTCCAAACCTAGCGAACCTGGATAACACGTAATAGGCGATATCCGTTCAAGACTCAAACGGTAACCAAATTGAAATCCGAGCACACCTACGCACTAGTGAGGACCAGGAGATTACGTCGGGACACAATGCCATTTTCTATAGTGCCCATGTGCCGCCACACGCGCTGGTAGCTCGTGGGTATTCCAAATGATTACGCTTCGCCATAAAATCTCAAAATCACGGCTCAAGACTCCTACCCTAGGTATAACACCCTATTTGGAACTACTTTTGTTCTTGGACCTATCCCAAAAAGTGAACGGAAGTGGCTGGAATCTCATCCCAAAATCCATCCAAATTTTGGGTTACAAATCGAGTTGCCTACGCTAGAAATTGATCAAATCCTACCAAACCATCAGTTAGATTATGAAGAAAGGATGAATTTCCATACCTTGATCGCCAAAAATGGCGGTCGGAGGAGAGAGATTGAAGCCGGTAAAGTTTCGAGCGAAAACCGGCCTAAAAACCACATTTTTCGGCGGCTAGAGCTGCGGCTGATGTCGGGGAAGGGCCGGGTCGTGACGCTGGGGCTGAGCCGGTCCTTTTGGCACCGGTCCCGTCCGCAGCCGTGGCCAGTGGCCAAAGTTTCGAAGAGAGAAAGGGGCTGCCATCGCGAGGAGAGAGAGAGCATGCGGGAGAGAGAGAGAGAGAGAGAGAGAGAGAGAGAGAGAGAGAGAGAAAATCAGATTTATCAAACCCTTTTCGCCAAAATTGCGGTTATGCCACTGAGGGTATTTTGATCGTATCTCTCTCGTTACAAGTCCGATTTGAGCCCACTACGTGTCTATGAACTCATCTCGCCGCGCTCTACATAACGGTATAGTCGAAGTTTGGGAATTTCTTCTCGGTCAAAAAGTCAACTTTAAAACTAATATAATATTCTAAGGGCAAAATGGTCTTTTATCATGTTTAATTAATAATTAAACATTTATTTAGGACCGGGTCGCTACATTGTCTTGGGTTTTGTTTATAACATTTCTGATGAGTGGGAAGTTGTAATTGTTATGGGGTTTGTTCCTTTGAATGTAATGGTTCTGAAATGTGCATTAGTGTTTTGAAATGTGCATTAATGTCCCTTGAATGTGTATTAGTGTTCTGAAATGTTCTTGAATTGAGGTTATTTGAATATCTGGGAAATGCCATTCCATTGAGTACAACGAAGTAAAAGCCATTCCATTGTTGACCACACATGCAATTTACAAAATGAACATCCATATAAACATTCAAATTCCAATGATAGAGTTTGAGCCCATGAAACTGAAGACCAGTTAGACCAATTACAGAATTCCAATTAAAAAATGCACCTACCTAGCAAAGTACATAAGCCAAAACAGACAACCAATTACACAGTTTGAGCTGTTCTAGCTCAAAACCAATTACACAAAGTACACAAAATCCTCCTGCCCAAAAAAGTACATAATCTAAAATAGGCAAGCAATTACAGAGTTTTAGCCCTTCAAACTCAAAACCAATTACACAGTCAAAAGTCAGAATCTGTCCCTTCCATCACAAAATCCCTCTTGCCAGAAAATTACATCCCAAAATACACAAAATAGGACAACCTTAGCAATAATTTCCCCTATATTGAGGCCATGTTATTATCATGGGAAATGTTGTCCAAAGCTGGTCCTCCTTGTCCCCTTCCTCTTGCCACCTAAACAATGTAGTGATGTCAGGTGTATAATAGTTGACAAATTGGCAATTAGTGAAATGAGTAAGAAATTAACCAAATGACAAAAACCTATAGTTGATTGTGAAGATGGTAAGCCTCTTCGCCTCTTTCTCCACTTATTCCTCTTCCTAAGCCTCTTCCTCTAATTGCACTTAGCTTTGAAGATGGTAAACCTCTTCCTAAGCCAATATGTGAAGATGGTAAGACTCCTTGTCCATTACCTCTTGTCACCTGAAAAAATTACTGATCTTTATTGTTTTCCAATGACATAAGCAATAAAAAATTGAAAAAAATGAGAAAATAAAGCTTACACTTTCTTGTGAATTTGGGTAAACAGGGGCTTGAGCAACATTGCATCTTCCTTTACTTATGCCTCTGCCTCCTTCTCCATTACCTCTTGCCATCTAAAAACAATTAATGATTTCAGCTTCCTAATGACTTTTGCAATTTAAAACCACAAGAACAACCAAAGCTTACACTTTGTAGAGAATTAGGGTCAGCAGTAGCTTGAGCAACATTTTCTCTTCCTGTACTTATGCATCTCCCTCTTACTGTGTTAGAAGAAAAGCCTTGCTCTATTTGGGTTGAAGATGCATGAACCTGCAAATGTATAACGAAATTATTAATGTAAGTACGTCATAACATAGAAGTAAATAAGGTGTCTAACAGTCATACCTGTTGGGTTTCATTGTTTCATCTATCACATGTTGCTCTATTATGGCCTTTTTGACCGCATCCACAACATCTTATTTGAATGAAAACCCTTCTAAGCTTGGCTGGTGGGGCAATATAATTTGGAGGCATATGGTTTGGTGGGATGGGGCCTGGTATTTCAACCTCACCAGGCTCCTTCGTCCTAACTCTTTTAGGCCTACCCAGTTGTTGCTTATAAAATGGAGGTTTAATTGGAGGAAGGCCACATTTACTCCATTGGTCCATTGAAGGGATTGGGTGAATCACTGGTTCATAAGCCTTCATATAAGTCTCCAGCTTATAATAATCATCCACATAAGCAATTGGGTTTTCACATCTTTGAAATATTGTTGAGATTGCATGGGGACATGGTATTCCACATAAATTCCACCTCCTACAAAAGCATGTCTTTGCTCTAAGGTCTACAACAAATTCTTCACCATAAATGTGGCTCACTTGATACAATTTCTCACTAGCCAATCTAGGAATGCATTGTGATGAACCTAGCTTGTTCTTCTCCATTATCTTGAAGATCCTATGCCCAACATAGTATCTTCAATTCTGACATGCAGACCTCTTACTAGCCATCCTAAGCATCACATACACCCTTATCCTTTCCAAGCAACTCAAAATTGTCTTATCTCTTGCATCTAGTATGGCTGCATTGAAACTTTCACATAGATTATTCAACAAAATATCACATTTAAAATGTGATTCGAAGTAAGATTTGCTCCAATTTTTTGCAGGTCTCTTCTTCAACCACTTCCATGCTTCCTTATCCTCAATTTTCATCTTCTCCATTTCTGCTTCCCATCAAGGCACATTTGTAGCTCTTACTGTAGCTCTTACTGCAGCTCATAATATATGTTTCAGAGTAAGACCAATATGTGATGCCCTAAAGTTATTGTACATGTGTCTCACACACATCCTGTGCTTTGCAGTTGGAAGTATTGTCTCAATGGCAGGTAGAAGTCCCTTTTGTTTGTCACTAATTATTACCTAAGCTTTTCCATTTGTAATCCCTAAATCCTTAATAAGAAGATTGAAAAACCAAATCCAAGAGTCTTTACTCTCAATATCAACCACTGCATAAGCTAATGAGAAATAACCATTGTTCCCATCCACCCCAACAGCCGTCAAGATCTGTCCAAGATAAGGCCCTTTCAAATGGTAACCATCAACACCAATAACGGTCTGCAACCTTCTAAAAATCCCTTCTTACATGCAGCCAAGCACACATATATCATTTGAAACACTGTCTCACCATTCACAATTTGAGTTTTAATCTTCACTGTACTACCCTTGTTTGCAGTTTTCAATTCTTCTGCATAATCCCACAATCTAGCATATTGTTCTTTGAAAGTACCTTCATTTAAATCTCTGGCTAGCCTCTTTGCCCTATAAACTTGAAGTATGGTGACATTTCTTTTGTAATCTTCCAACACATCTTGTTGAAATGATTTCAGATCAAAGTATGAGTTGCGCTTCAGCTTGTTTGCATATCTGTCACAAAGCCATTTTGATGTAGTATGCATAAGCTTGTCCACTCTTCCACACTGATGTTCTAGGCTCAAAGTTTTTATTGCAAATGTCCTTTCCTCTCTACTAATCTTTGATCCATATACCTAGAAAGAACACCTTTTCACACATTTAGCCTGAACTTGTCTGTTGTCGTTTTTTTTCACTTTCACTTCCCTACCCTCTATAATTGCATGCTCCTTGATAGCCTCTATCAATAGTTTTTGTTTGCAAACTTCATTCCCAATCTAAACTCAGGATTTTTCAAATCCACATCTCTTCTATACTGCTTAAACTTTGGCATTTTTATCTTTTTTCTACCATTACCCTCAGAATCAGTCTCACTTCCACTGTCAAATTCTGACATGTCAGCACCATCTGATGACACCTCTCCTGGAGCACCATGACTAGTCCTCTCATCTGCTACATTCTCTCCAACAGTTAGCCTAGCCTCTGCCTCATTTTCACTGAACTCATAATCACTGTCTTTAATTTCTAAATCTGTATCTTCATCTTCATTTGGCAAATCTGCCCCTTCATTATCAATTGTCACACGTGCCCCTATATTTTCATTTGGAAATTCTGCCTCTTCATTATCAATAGTGAAATGTGCCCCTGCATCTTCATTTGGTACCTCTTTGACAACATCTTCATTTGCCACTTTTGTCCCAACATTCTCAAAAGTCTCCTCATCTTCAACTTCAATATAATCCACCTCGTTGACTTGGTAATTCTGAGGCAAATCCCCATCACAATTCTCTGCATCTGCATCATACTCATAGTCTTCAATCTCACTATAGTATAACACAACAACCTTATTGGATGGTATGTGACCAACCATTTCAACCACTGTAGCATTTGATGTAACAAGCTCCAGTCCACTCTCAGGATTTTTACACCTAATTTCCAAACGTTGCTCAACTTGAGAAATGTCAACATCATACCCAAGACCTCTTCCAATTTTCAGTAAATCTAACAAGGACAGAAAATCCTCTATAATATTGTCCAAATAATAGACCTTACCCTTCTTATAAACCCCATTTTCAAACCAACCCCTATGATGTAATTCTAGAGTGCACATTCCATTGTTAGATGCAAAATTGAAACAATAATATATTATTTTAAAGTCATAGTTTTGTTGTTAATGCTAACGACAACAAGGGCAACAATTACTGAGTTGGATGTGAACCAAACAACCAAGGGACCATAGCCGTTTAAAAAAAACCCCATATTCAACATACATGAACCACAACCAAGGGACCACAGACATAAAGCTTACACTCTACAGCAAAAGCCAAATCCACATACAACAAAATGATTCCTTCACCCTTACTTTAAACATAAAACAACCAAAAGCCGAACACAAACATAGAAAAAGGAATCTTTATAAAGAAACCATAGTTCTAGACAAGGACAACTCATCCATTTCATCCATTTCCAAACAAAAACAACATAAAATGCATTATAAAAGCCCTTACCGTATTTGGGAGTCTTTCCACCCGAACGGAATTCATACTCCATTATCAGCAACTAGTGAATTTCCCAAAATCTCCAAAATCCCCAAAATCAAAGCCTAACCCAAACTCCTAAATTCGAACTCCAAAACTAACACTGAAATTACACACTAACTTCACCAATTCAGCGACTCGCACACTACTACAGCATCGACCAATTCAACAACTCACATTAGAATCCCTTTCACTCGATGGTATTCGCGGGAAATGAGAGGGCTTCTCAAAAAGTGGAGGGATTTTGGTTATGAATGATAGGGCTTCTCAAAAAGTCGCATATACCCTTCAAAACTCAGTCACGTGGCCATCGCGTGATCGAAAGTGACAGAATCTGTCACGGAAGGACCATTTAGGTACAAAATAAAAAGTTTAAGGACGTTTGAATTGAAAATTTTAGTTGATGGGCCAAAATGATATTGGAGCGATAGTTGGGGGACCATTTAGGTCATTAACCCTTAATATTATATCAAATTAGTCTTGAAACTTCATACTAGAAGTTATAGGAATTTATAGTAAAAAATCACTTCAAAATAGATTGATACTAAAAATTGTGGACTTGAAAAACATCTTCAAATTAAATATGTACGGTGTTTTCAACTTACTTGGGGTTTTTATTTATAAGAAGGGTATAGCTGTGCGGCTATACTATTTTTGACACGTGACAAAACGGCGCTAGACCCCAGAAGGTAGATTTTTTTTTTTTTTTTTTTTTTTTTTTTTTTTTTTTTTTATAATAAAACAGTATAGCCACTCGGCTATACCCGAGGTTTTTTTTTAATTCAAGAGTATAGCCGTCCGGCTGTACTAGGGTTTTTATTAAAAACAGTATAGCCGCTCGGCCATACGATTTTTGACACGTAGACAAATGAGCGCTAGCTGCAGTTGGGGTTTTTATTATAAAAAATAGTATAGCCGGCCAGTTATACCTTTTTGACACGTGGCGAAGTGGGCTCTAGGTGCCAGGCCCGTTTTATATATTTTATAAATAGTATAGCCGCCGGGCTTTACGGGGGTCTTTTTTTTTATAAAAAGTATAACCGAGCGGCCAAACGTAGCACCTCTCCGCCATCACTACTAGAATTGTTGATATCGGTTGGATTGACTTCTGAAGCACCGGGGCTCGGTTCTCGCTGATGCTTCTTGTTGATGCTTTTTTTCGGAGAGGGTCAACTTAGAGAAAAAGGGATTTGCCTTCAGCAGGGAAAGGGTCTGGGCCTTCAATAAAGGCTAGCCTGCAGAAGACAAAAAATAGGGGAAGCAGTCGTCAAGCTCCGGGCACCGGTGTGGTGCCGGCCGAAGGCTCTCTGATGCTTAAGTCAGCTAAGAAGGGTAACTTTTGCAGAGTAATAGTAAAAGGCAGAAAAGTAGTTACCCCTTTTACTAGGGTACTGTTCCCTTTTTATAGGGAAGTGAAAGTGGGAGGTTGGTGTAGATTTCCGATGTGGGACTTTGTGCAAGTCGCCACGGTGGTGACACGTGTCATGAGAATTAGGTTTAACAGTTTGTGAGCTTTGGCAGTCGGGAGTTTCGGCAGGTGCTTGGCACCTCGGAAGAGTGTCTTCCTTCGGCAGGAGAGAATGTGTGTCTGCCTTGGTGCTAGTTGTTTTGAGACTGGATATGCTCGGTTGATTATGGTGTAAACACTTCTCATTGTCAGATGTCGAATCCGTAGACTCATTTCCTGCACGTTTGGCAGGAAATTTGATTTTTAAGAACTAATTCGATGATCTCATCGACAGATATTATACTGTGATCATCAACCAAAACTTCACAATTAACCACTCCTGATAAAGTGTTAATCCCAAAGAAAACCATCCAGTTTCAGATGCTCATATATATATATATATATATATATATATATCACATGCAAGTCTTCTTTCTAGCTAGCATATACTTGCAGATATACCACAAAATGATCCTATTTCTGCATTTACCTGAAGCGTCAGCTCCACTTGACTTAGTACTTGTCAGAGGCACTGCAGAATTGATATGTCTCTCTTTGAATTAGAGCCTTTATCCTGAGTGCAACAAAAGCCTCCATTTGTTTATCCAAATGATTTGCTTCTTGCTTCACCACCTCCACCTTGTCCTTGTAAAAAGTGTTGACCTTGTTGAGACATTATGCCTCCACCCTCTTCAGAATGCCTCAGGAACTTGGTCTTGTAAAAGTGCCTGCAACCATCTCCATGCAATGTGTTGACATCTATTACCCGGTGCCCAATATCTCCATTAGTATTCTGGAGACTGGTAGGTTGTAGCTCTCTGCCATTGATGATGGTTCTGCAAGGAGGAGGAGGTTTGGGGTCTAAGTCTTTAGAGTGCTTCCTTTGTTTGTATTCTCTTGATCCATGTAGGCTTCCGCCCACTCAGGCACCATTTGTCTCTTGAACTCTTTCCCGAATTAGTTTAATCCATTAATTGAAGTACGAAAACTAATATACTGAGTTTAATAATTAACACACAACAAACCATCAAACTACGGAGATGCAGAGGATCCAATAACAATTGGGCACATCTGACATACCCAAATTGACCCACCCCTATAAACTAATCAAGTTTTAGACCCCAAAAAGATGGAAACTAGTGCTTTTAATCTTTGCTTCCTTTTTTTTCTCCCTCAAATTTCTATCAAATCTCTAGCATTCTATTCCAAAAAGGCCAAACCAAGAATGAATTTATGTGTTCGTCTAAATTTTCAAGGATATAGAAACCCAATTCGTATATATCATGCAAATTATGGTTCAACTACATTCTTACCAAGGAAAGATATGTATTTATAAAATAAAAAATAATAAAAAAATAAGGGCCCGAATCAGTTGAAAAATAAACATTAAAAACCACCAGTTTGACAAAGAAAAACATTAAATTTCACCAAATCAGTTAAAAAATAAAGTTCACTACACAGGGTTATTCAATTCCGTTTAATTCAAGATAAGAAAGCTTGGCAGGAACGCTTCAAATAGACTACTGTGGACATATTATTCAGAGAGCCGCATAGACCCTCTGTAATAATAAGAAACAAGAAAAACGTCCTGAAATATATATATATATATATATATATATATATTTTTCCTATTGGCAGCCCGCCCTATTTCTTCAAAATTTATGATAAAAAATAGAGTTACCGCTGAGGTTTTTGGTTTTTTCACAAAATTTCTTGAGGTTTTAAAAATTACATGAACACCCTCTGAGATTTTAAATTGTTTTCACAAAACTTTTTTTCATTTGATTTTTCATCCAAAGATCGATGATTTTACACCCAAAAAAATTCTCTAAATCACAAAATTGGCCTTTGAGATTAGATTGCATATACTTCACTGAGGTTAATTTTGTCATTTGCATAAGTTTTTTTTTCAATAAAATCATCAATTTTGGACAAACAATCAACGAAAAGAGGTTTTGTGAAAACAAACTGAAACCTCAGGGGGTGTTTGTGTCAATTTTGAGACCTGAGGGGGTTTTGTGAAAACACAAGAAATCTCAAGGGGTGTTAGTGTAAATTACTCTAAAAAATGAACTATTCAAATCAAGAAAATGGACTAATTCAAGATGGAAAATCACGCTTAAAAGCCAAGCACAACACTAAAAGGGAAGTACATGTATATGTTTACGGGATTTTCTTGTTGCTTGAGCTAATTTCAAGAAAAGTTTCTTTTTGGAAAGATTTGAATTTAATTTCTTATTTAATCTGTAACCATAACACAAATAATCTTTAAGATATTATTTTCCTGATAAATTTAGGATTTTAATATTTTCTTATTATCTAAGTTTTAGGATATTAATTCCAACTTCCGTTTTCCATACGCACGCATTCTTCTCCTTTTTTTTCTTTTTTTCTTTTTTGCTTTTCTCTTGGGTGCAACGTGCCTTTTGTCTAGCTTGGGTCCCAAATTTGATTCCACTATATTAGAATTAGGGTTTCTGATTAATTAACCCTTGGCACAACACAGCCATTATTCATTCAATCGAATTAAGTACATCACGTATACAAAGAGTTTAGGGAGAGGAGAGCGAAGTGACAGTTTTTAATAGCAAGAGAGGGTGTTTTCATATTGGAGAATACTGCACTGCAATATGATGAGGAATTATGAGGGTAAGAAAGGAATGGATTCTGGCCTGTGTCCCGCAGTCATGGACATAATAGACTTGTCGAAGGTTCGAATAATTTATAATAATTACAATGGATGTGCTTGTATGATTTTTTCCAGTCATTTATTCATTTTTGTGTTTGTTTCAGGCAACGTGCATGGAAGCTCGTAAAGCCTGTGATCATATCTCTTTATTGTCTCTTGGTAAATACAAGACAGTTCCGGCTGTTGTGGAATCTGTCATCCGCATTAACAAGAAGGATAAAATTATACTACATATTCAAAACGAGAAGACATGGAGGATTGCCTTCTCACTTTGTGGTGTCACATTGCCCAAAGATGAGGAGCCCTATTCAGATGAAGCATTTGAACTACTGAGGCGAACCATAGTTCATAGAAGGGTGGAGGTAATTATTTAGCTCTTATCTGGTAGCTTTGATTTCCCTTTGGTTTTGTTTTTGCTTCGATAAAATTGTATCTCTTGTTCAGGTTTTATTGGAGACTATTGATGAAGATGGATATTTCGTGGGAAGTTTATTGGAGTCAAATACCCACGTGGCCATACCCCTGCTTGAAGCTGGGCTCGCAAAACTACTTAAATATGGTACCCGTTTGCCCATTAATCATCTCACAAAGCTTTTTAGAGTTGAGAAGTCTGCAAAAACGAAGAAACTGAAAGTATGTGATGCAACCTGCATTAAGACATGTTGTCTTCCTTTTAACTAATTGTGTTAATAATATTCATTTTGTTGCAGATTTGGGAGAACCATGTATAGCGACCAGTAACAGAAAAAAGAGTTGAAGGGCATTCACGAACTTGCAAAAGTTACAATCCAAGAACAAGTAACAGAAGAGATTCTAGGAGTCGGAAATTTTTTTTATGGAATAGTTTAGCCTTTAAGTGAGTTGTTTCTCACATCGGTGTAGTACAAGCAACAAATACAATTTCATGTTTAGCCTTCATTGTAGAGACATCTTAGTTCTTTCTTTTTTGGTAGATAAAGAGACCTCTTATTTTGGGGGTATATTTTGTGGTAGAATTTTCTCTTCACACTTATGTGTGACTAGTAAGGATTTTTTTAAAATATACCAAATTTATATCAATATTAAAAACAAATGATTCAAAATGAGGAAATTTTTGACTAAGATGAAAAATCCGGCTTTCATAACATTTGAGAGAAAGCGATAATTGTATTCATAAATAAGGCACAAAGACCATCAGCCACAAGGGCAAATACAAATGCCCACAAAGGGGTAATACAAATATGGAAGCATAGTAACCACATAGGGTTAATCCAGTTACAACATAACGTATATAATTTTGGGATTTTCATGTTGTTTGAGCTAATTTGAAGAAAAGTTTCTTTTTGGCTAGATTTGGATTTAATTTCTTATTTTATCTTTAAGTAGGACACAAATATATTTTCCTGATATGGTTGTATCTTTTTAATTAGGCAAGTTTTCGGATATTTGATTAGGAAACTTTGTTTCCAGTTTTCCAAATTTTTTTCCGGTCAATTAGAATTAGGGTTCTTGATAAATTGAAGTCTAGGAGATTCCCTATAAACAAAGGACAGAACCCTTGGCACTGCAGAGCCATTATAAGTAGATTAAACCAAGAGAGAGTTTAGAGAGTGCTTTCATATTGGAGGAGTATTGGGTACAGATCCATCGTACTACTGCAATCTTTTTGGACAGCTCCAGTAAGTGTGTCCCTATGTATATATTAATGCGATTGAATTCCCATCCAATGTTCTCAAGTCCATTTGATTTATTTGGATTACATAGATCCATGAAAAAGACTGTTTAGATTTCTATTAAAATTTTGCAATTTATTTTCGTGAAGCATATAAAAACAATTCACATCTATTAATTTTGCGGTATATATGTGTCGGGGATTGGCATCAGATTTGGGAATCTCGGATTGGCATATTGTATAATATGAATGCATAAGTTATATTTTGTGCTGGGGAAAAAGTTTATTTGGAATGGGAAAGCAACAAGCTTCAATTGATGGAGTGCAAAAGAGACATAAACTCAACCCCGACAAGGATGTGGTATGTTTTGACTACTTTTTCTTTTGTATTTTATTTGCATCGATTATGCTCGCGTGATGCTTGTATAGCAGTAAAAATATGGTGTTGTGGTTATTTGTTATGCAGAGAATAGGAGGTGAAAGTATGAATATCATTGGATATGAGTTAAATTATGACCCATCTCAAATTTACTTGGCTGGAAAAATATACTTTAAAGATGGCAAAGAAAGGAAGGCTCGATTTTTTAAGTTCGAAAATTCGCAGGAAGAGTTAGCTAAGAAGATATTTACCCGAACTTCCAATTTAACTTATCATAAGGGGTTCTTGAAGCCTTACTTTGTGAGTTATTATGAACCACAAGATATTTGGATTTTGTGCTACCCTCAATTCGATCAACTTCTAGGCGAAATGATGGATGAGGATTTTGTAATGCCAATGAGAACTGAGATTTCTCATATTCTATCTCCTTGGTGGTGCGATGCAATTCGGTATAATATGTTCATATCTTTTTTTCTTTTTGCCTCAAATACGTATTGTATAATAATTAGTGCTGATAAAGTGTTTTAATAACCTTTTAGGAACAATAAAACATATACATTTCTGTGATTTTTTTTTCATATGGGTTTGAACAAAACATGTAATTATGTTGTTGTTTCCAATCGAATCAAGATTATTAACGTCGAAAACAATTTTGAAGACCTCGGAGATACCATACATCCTACAAAAGTAAGGATGTTGAGAATCAAAGACTTAAAAGCACTGAGGAATATGCTAAAGGAAAGAATATTGTTACCTGAAGTTCCTTGGCTTGAGCGTGATTATTTCTTTGATTTCTTTGACCACAATGAAAATTATGAGTAAGTTTAGTGGTGCTACAACATTTTATTTTTGTTACTAATTGAACTGAATGAAAAAAGTATAATATGTCATTTGGCTTACAAACATTAGTTTTTATTTTTTATTTTCAGGTACTGTACATTCATCGAGAAACTAGAAAAACATCCACTTTTAATGACTTCGAAGGAAAGAATGCAGTCCTTTTTTGAAATAAGGGTCTCTGTAAATGAAAGTAAGTTGAAGAGAATATTAGATGGTAGGGCATTCCATGAGTATAGAAAGTGGAATAATAAAATTGAAGATATGGCTCCCTTCAAAAAAATTTATGAAGATCCGAACAATAAATATGATGGTGATTGTGTATGGGACCTTCTAGAATTTTTGAAAGATGTATATCTTGATTGTCGTGAGCAAACCTTTGAAGCTGTGGATGCTGAGGTCGAAAGATTGTATCCCAGCTTCTTGAATCAGATTCATACCATCTCTTGAAGGTAAGTGTAAGCTGGATGAATAGAATACTCTTCTCTTTGCACTTTCATCCTTCTATTTATTTAGTTTAATTCTTTTGTTTTGTGCAGATCATGAAGGTAGGACCTTCCTTCTGCTGAACTTGAAGATATATGCATTTTCTTGTTGTAGATCGGGGCACAATTTGTACTTTTTGTTTTCATGAGTTGGGAGATAAGTGTTTTTACTTCTAAAGAATATTGGAAGACATCATTATTTTCCTGAATGACAGAAAGGGCGCCAAGTTTTGTATGTTTCTGACCCCTTTGATAACTTACTCTCAGTCATGGAATATATTCGTACAATATTGAGGTAATGCAAGCTCTCCTCAAGAGTGAAGGTAGCTTTGTAGTGTTAGTTGTTGAAGCCAAATTGCCAACAAATTGGGGAAATGTCTCCAAAATACTTGGAAGCCTTCACACATCACACATTTAAATGGCATGTTTTATTAAATTAATCGTGATAAGAACGGTTTTAAATAACTTCTTTGGGTTTAAAGAAAAAGCCTGGATGAAAGTGGTGCACCTCTTTTGCAAATTCTGTTGGAAGGTTGTCAACAACTTGGCATATTACGCAATCACCTTCCATGTCATGATGGTATGTGTGGGAACCGAATTAAATCAGACCCTAGGTCAAATGATTCATTCCATTTGGGGATTATCTGACCTAATTGGGAATTAATCAACCTAATTGGGAGTTACTCAATTTAATTGGGGATTACCCAATTAAATTGAAGATTACCTAATTAGGTTGAGAATTGATTTGATTCCTACCCCGATTCCCAATTAAATGAGGAGTTACCTAATTAAAATGAGATTTGATTTGATACCTACCATAATTAGGGATTTGATTTACCCTAATAAATCAAATCCCTAATTAATCAAATCAATTCCAAAAAGGGGAGGAATAATTCCCTTCCATCTACGGAATTATTCCTATGAAACCCTAGCCTCCAAGACAACTACAAAAGGATGGCCACACACAAGGGTTGAGGTACGTCTGAAATCCCTACTGAAACTCTGCAGAAAATTCCTCTCAAACCCTAGCCACCTCCTTTCTCTCTCTCTTTTACATAAGGCTACGGCCGCCCGGTTTATACCATAAACACATCTCCGTACCCTATTAGCTATTGTTTTCTATAGGATCCAATTGAACTAATTTAGGCATCGGAGGGCCTTTGGCCAACACCCCCCGGGTGTGGTCCTCTTATTGGTTCTATTTTGCAGGGAGAAGGAGGCGGCTAAGAAGAAAGGGGAATCTTTCCAATCGAATATTCTCGTGGGGAAATTTGTACAAACAAATTGGTGCTTTCATCACGAGAATATTCGATTGGAAAGATTCCCCTTTCTTCTTCGCCGCCTCCTTTTCCCTGCAAAATAGAACCAATAAGAGGACCACACCCGGGGGGTGTTGGCCAAAGGCCCTCCGATGCCTAAATTAGTTCAATTGGATCCTATAGAAAACAATAGCTAATATAGGGTACGGAGATGTGTTTATCGTGTAAACCGGGCGGCTGGAGCCTTATGTAAAAGAGAGAGAGAAAGGAGGTGGCTAGGGTTTGAGAGGAATTTTCTGCAGAGTTTCAGTAGGGATTTCAGACGTACCTCAACCCTTGTGTGTGGCCATCCTTTTATAGTTGTCTTGGAGGCTAGGGTTTCATAGGAATAATTCCGTAGATGGAAGGGAATTATTCCTCCCCTTTTTGGAATTGATTTGATTAATTAGGGATTTGATTTATTAGGGTAAATCAAATCCCTAATTGTGGTAGGTATCAAATCAAATCCCATTTTAATTAGGTAACTCCTCATTTAATTGGGAATCGGGGTAGGAATCAAATCAATTCTCAACCTAATTAGGTAATCTTCAATTTAATTGGGTAATCCCCAATTAAATTGAGTAACTCCCAATTAGGTTGATTAATTTCCAATTAGGTCAGATAATCTCCAAATTGAAGGAATCATTTGACCTAGGGTCTGATTTAATTCGGTTCCCACAGTATGAATCACGTGAGGGATCATATCTGAAAAACCATGGTTGAACATGTCCTGTTTCTGGTCATAAGTATTGTAACAACAGAAAACTGTGTTTTTTTATTGTACCTGAAGAAAGGTGAGTCAATTGAGATGGTCGGTTTACAATTTTCTATTGATCACCCAATGTCAATGTCACAAGTTAAATCAGAGATTCCAACAAGCTCTTTCCTTGTTAAATCTTTAAGCTGCTTGGTACTCAATAATCTAGTAAATTGTTTCTCCCAGTAAGTACATGCAATTCACTGCCAAAGGGGGAAAAACAGAAGCTTAAATAGGGTTCTAGTTTTCATGGAAAAAAATCTAAATAGGTTTGATAGCAAAGTGTAAAACATACCAATTACAGATGCATAAGGGCGCAATTTTTTCATGGAAAACGGGATTGTAGTTTTCTGGATGTGCACAATAGTCAGCCTGAAATCAATACAGATGTTTTTGAGTAAAATGTAACAAACATGCAGAAAAAGAGCTGTGAGGGAACTCACTTTGTCAAACAGCCATATCTTTACCAGTCACAACACATCCATATACCTGGACGACCCTTTTTGATGTGAGTGTAGGCTGAGCAACGTCCTTGGCGTAATCAGATTGAAGAATGATGAAACTGCCACCAAGAAGGCATATCATATTTCTTCAGGTCAGTGGAAGAAGGCGATTAGGAACTTGAAATGCCGGGTACATTCAGGTTATGAAAATCAAACATGAGATTATATATCACTACTACATTTTTCACTTTGCGCGACGAAGAAACTTTCGTCGCGCAAAATACATTATAGTCGCACAAATTTTAGCACGACAGAAACTTCGTCGCGCAGATTCCGTCGCGCAAAGATCGTGGAGAAAGACTTTGCGCGACGAAAAAATATTGGTCGCGCAAAGTGACTTTGCGGGACGAAACATATTGGTCGCGCAAAGTAACTTTGCGCGACGAAAATATTGGTCGCGCAAAGCGACTTTGCGCGACGAAAAAATATTTGTCCCGCAAAACCACTTTGCGCGACGAAAAATATTGGTCGCGCAAAACTTTGCGCGACGAAAAAATTTTAAAATTTTTTTTTAAAAAAATTCCCTCGTCCCATTTTTAGTACCCGCCCAAATTTTTAGAGTTTTGCGCGACGAATATTAATGTCGCGCAAATATTTGCGCAACGAAATATTTTGGTTTTTGACTTTTTGTTTTATTATTTCTTTAATATTAATTTAATTATATTAATTATTTCGAATTTTTAATTTTTAAATTAAATTTAATTGTATGATTTTTTTCGTTACTTTAATTTAAATTGATATTAATTTAATTATATTAATTTATTCAAATGTTTACTTTTTAAATTTAATTTAATTACTTTAATTTAAATTGACATATTCAAAATAAAATTACATATGAAAAATAGTGATCAAATTATCCAATAAATATATATATAATATTCAAAATGTACACATAAATTAACAAAGTACAATAAATAAAAAAAAGGGATAATCTCCCCTAAAATTGTTATACCACAAATCCAACCCAAACTCCAATCCCTCCCCTTTACTCAACCCCAAACCCCACACAAACTCAAAACTAACTCCAAAAACACATATTAATGAAAAAAAAATTAAAATTTGGAGAGAATCTACCTTTTGGCAAGATTGAGAGTGAGTGAGAATGAGAGAGAGAAATGAGTGTGAGAGAATTAGAGAAGATAGTGATAGAGAGATGAGAGAGTGAGTGAGAGTGAGAGATAGTGAAAAGAGAGATGAGAGAGTGAGTGAGAGTAAGAGATAGTGAAGAGAGAGATGATGAGAGATTAAGTGAGAGGAGTGAGAGTGAGAGAAATGGTGAGATTTGGGGAGAGGGAAAGAGAGAGGAGAGGAAAGAGTAGAGAAAGACATTGAGAAAATGATGGAGGAGTTATTTTTATTTTAAAAACCGTATCACCTTGCGCGACGAACGACATTGTTGGTCGCGCAAAGCTTTGAGCGACGAAAAATATTGGAGTATTGGTCGCACAAAGCTTTGCGCGACGAAAAATATATTGGTCGCGCAAAGTTTTGCGCGACGAATATTAGTATATTGGTCTCAAAAACAAAAAAAAAAAAAAAAAATCCCGCGTCCCATTTTTGGTACCCGCCCAAATTTTGAAATTTTTGCGCGACGAAAAATACATATTGGTCGCGCAAAGTCTAAAAAAATTAAATAAAAAAATTCCCGCGTCCCATTTTTGGTACCCGCCAAATTTTTGCGCGACGAAAATATATATTGGTCGCGCAAAGTCTAAAAAAAATTTTTTTTTCCATCCCGCGTCCCATTTTTGGTACTCACCCAAATTTTTAAAGTTTTGCGCGACGAATTGTTGGTCGCGCAAACTTTTGAGAGACGAAAAATTGGTTCATAGCACGATATTTATAAAAATAATTGTTATGAATAATAAATTTATTTTTTTTTACGATTTAAAATATAAATAAGGTTAAAGCTACTTAATAAATGTATATACCAATTTCTTAAGTGTTATACGTACAAAATAAATAAATTTAAAGCTACTTAATAAGTAAATATATATATATATACACACACCATTCAACGATCCAACCGTCAAACTTGTTTGTATATACTTCAAGATCGTATACCCCAAAAATTGTAAAAAAACAAACATTCGGAGACCTAGTAACGGGACAAAAAATTTCAACGGTTCTTAATGAAAAATCACGATTTAACGATTATTTTAACTCCGATTTTGATGATTTTTTACAGCTACACTCCTTGACCTTATATGAATACAATGAACTAATTCGATCGTCAATTTAAAATATTTACACTAGTGGATACCACAAAATCTTATGTTATACTTAACAAAAGTATAAATAAACTCTTAATTGTTAGTGAATATATTGTTTTGATGGCATACGCATTCAAAAAAACAAGTTTCAACGATCCAACCGTCAAACTTATTTGTTTATACTTCGAGATCATATACGCCAAAAATCGCAAAAAATAAACATTCAGAGATCAAGTAACGGGACAAAACTTTTCGACGGTTATAAATGAAAAATCTTGATTCAACGGTTATTTTAACTCCGATTTTGATGATTTTTTACCGCTACACTCCTTTACCCTATATGAATACAATGACTGAATTTGATCTTCAATTTAAAATATTTACACTAGTGGATACCACAAAATCTTATGTTATATTTAACAAAAGTATAAATAAACTCTTAATTGTTAGTGAATATATTGTTTTGATGGCATACGCATTCTATGAAACTAGTTTGAACGATCCAACCGTCAAACTTGTTTGTTTATACTTCGAGATCATATACGCTAAAAATCGGAAGAAATAAACATTCAGAGATCAAGTAATTGGACAAAACTTTTCGACGGTTATAAATGAAAAATCACGATTTAACGGTTATTTTAACTCCGATTTTGATGATTTTTTTTATAGCTACACTCTTTGACCCTATATGAATACAATGAACTAATTCGATCGTCAATTTAAAAAATATATTTTCTAATAAAAACCCAATCCAAAAAACAATAATATATTTTTCTAACAAATATTTTAAAAAATATTTTATTTATTTTATTTATTTTTATAAGGACTTTGCGAGACGAAGTTAATTGTTTCGTCGCGCAAAGTAGCTTTGCGTGACGAATTGTTTTTCGTCGCGCAAAGTCGCTTTGCGCGACGAACTGTTTTTCGTCGCGCAAAGTTACTTAGAGCGACGAATTTTTTTTCGTCGCGCAAAATTTGGTCGCGCAAGACTTTGAGCGACGACGTATTGTCGTCGCGCAAAAGTTGGTCGTGCAAAGTCGCTTTGAGCGACGAAAAAAAATTCGTCGCGCAAAAGTTGGTCGCGCAAGGTTTTTAGCGACGAAGTTTTGAGTTTCGTCGCGCAAAGTGTCTTTGCGCGACGAAAAATTATTCGTCGCGCAAAATTTGGTCGCGCAAGGGTTGTTTTGTAGTAGTGTATGCAATACTACCATAGGCACCATTGTTACATGAAACATTTGTGCAAGAGTTAAATACTTACAGTCCCGAATAGCTCTGAAAGCTACAGGAAAGAAAGTTATATTATATCAAATTAGTCTTGAAACTTCATATACTAGAAGTTATAGAAATTTATGGTAAAAAATCACATCAAAATAGAGTAATACTAAAAATTGTGATCTGCATAGGGACTTGAAAAACATTTTCAAATTAAATATGTAATCACTTGGAATTTAGCTAAAAGTCTGGAATTTAAGAGGAGAAATTGACAATTCCCTTGTTTGGCAACTTAAAAGTGGAAGTTGCGCGAAAAAAATCATGGAAATTGGGGCATCAAATTCCCGAGTTTAATTTCCACCAAAATAGGCTTCATTTCATAATTTCCATAGTCTCATTTACAAAATTCCGTCATTTACAAAATTCGACATATATAAATCCAAATACTGAAATCTTCAATTGCTAGAAATTGAAATAATGGAAATCTAAATTCCGTCATTTTAGAATATGATGTAATTTTCAATCGCGTCATCCAAACGAAGGGTAAATGAAAATAAGTTCATAATAATTTTGAATTTAAAACCACAAGTACGTGATATGATGATAATGAGAATCAATAAAAATGATGGAATGAATACTGACAACGAAAAACATTAATTTTCATCAGTTTGGCAAGGAAGAAACAAATCTGAAACAATCAACACAAAGAAAAACATTATATTTCACCAAATCAGTTGGAAAATAAAGTTCAAAATATAATAAGAAACAAAAAAAAAGGTCCGTGATTTTTGTTTTCTCACTCTAATTTATGATAATAAAAAAAATAAACGATTCAAATCAATGGGACTAAATAAAGATGGAAAATCATGCCTTTTTTTTTCTTTTTTTTATCAAGTAAATGTAAAGATAACTTTATTGAACCAACAATGTTAGGGTACAAAAAGTAAAAACTGGACTTTAGTGATACAACAATAGTGGTCTCGTTAAAACTTTGCCTTAAAAAACCCCCAAATGGAGGAAAATTTGGTTAAGGAAAAAGAGTACCACAACATCACACCCAGTATAAAATTAAAATTAAAAATAACTTGTCATTGGCCAAAACATCAAAACGCTAAAAAGGAAGGATACGTAATATTTATGAGATTTTCTTGTTGCTTGAGATCATTTCAAGTTTCTTTTTGGAAAGATTTAAATTTAATTTCTTATTTAATCTTCAACTATAACACAAATAGTCTTTAAGATATTATTTTCCTAATATGGTTATTTATTTTTTTAATATTTTTTTATTATGCAAGTTTTAGGGATATTCCACACTTTTCTACACGTGGATTCTTCTCCCCCTTGTTTTTTTCTTTATGCGTAACGTGCCTTTTTTTTGGGGGGGCGGGTGTGCCGTGCCTTCCTCTTACAGGATTAAGAGACTTTGGGGTCCCAAATTTGATTCCACTATACTGGAATTAGGGTTTCTGATTAATTAACCCTTTGCACAACATAGCCATTATTCATTTAATCAATTCAAAGTACATCACTTATACAAAGAGTTTAGGGAGAGGAGAGCGAAGTACGAGTTTTTAATAGCGAGAGAGAGAGAGAGTGTGTATTTGTACATTGGAGTGGATTATCAATTCTACAGCATTCTGGAGTGGATTCCCTTAGTCATGGAGATAATAGACTTGTCAAATGTAAGAATTACACAATAATTTATAATTATTATTATTATAAGGGATAGATGTGTTTTTTTTTCTTCTCTAAGAGATAGTTTTTGCATTCATTCATTCATTGATGGCATGCGTTTGTTTCAGGCAACATGGGAGGAAGTTGGGAAAGCCTGTGATATCATATTTTTATGGGCCTTTGATGAATACGAGAAAGTTGAGGGTTTTGTGGAATCTGTTATCCCTACTAACAGTGACACCATGGATAAAATTATACTATTGATTCAAAGCAATAAGAAAACATGGAAGATTGCCTTCTCACTTTATGGTGTCGCATGGCCCAGAGGTGAGGAGCCCTATGCAGATGAAGCATTTGAACTGCTGAGGCAAACCTTAGTTCACAAAAGGGTGGAGGTAATTATTTAGCACGTATCTGGTAGCTTTGGTTTCCCCTTGGTTTTTTTTTCGTGATTCAGTAAGATTGAATTTGTTGTACAGGTTCTGCTGGAGACTATTGATTCAGATGGCTATTTTATGGGAACTTTGTTGGAGTCAAATACCCATGTGGCAATCCCCCTCTTTAAAGCCGGCCTTTTAAAAGTGGAACCAGGTCCAAGCTTAGCACGTGGATATTTTTCGTGCTCAGGACTCTGCAATAAAAAAGAAACTGAAAGTATGTGTAGCAATGTGTATTATGGCAATTGCCTTCCTTTTAACTGAATCGTGTTAATAATAATATTCATTTTGTTGCAGATTTGGGAGAATAATGTTGAACCATATAGAAACTACAACTTGTAACATAAAAAAGAGTTGAAGGGCATTCAAGAACTTGCAAAAGGGCCAAGAAGAAGTAGGGTCTCCTGGAACTTGCAATTGCTGAGAAAACGGAAGAAAAGAGATTTTAGGAATTGAGAATTTTTTATGATTAATATAGGCAGGACTATTAGTTCCTTTCCGATTGTAATTTGATGACAAATCATTGAGAATTAATGTTTGACAAGTTTTTTACTGGCCAGTAACTCAAGAGGACTTATTACATCGTCAATAACTAGCAGAAAAACATGCTCCTTGCGTTGCTTCACCAGCTCAATCATTGGTTTTTGTAATACGTACAAGAGCAAACACTAACTAGCTTTTGTAAGTTAGATAATGAGTGTTAATTAACGTGTTTACATGCAACATGCATATATAGGTTAGCAAGTCATAGTTCTTCGTTTTCTTTGGAAATTCTGCAGTGTTTGTTTTATTTACAATCCCAGAACAAGGAAGGGAATAGCCCTCTCTTGCCCATGCATCATGAATTACCGGAGGTTACGGTAGCAATTAATGTTGTCAAACTTTCTAGACAGCTCGACAATTACAATTTTTTACTTCGTAATCGTCATCTCAACCAGATCCGATTTCATTCTGGAAACATTATCATTTGGACTGTCCAACTCAATTAGTCCCATGCTGTAGGAGGAAACAAGCAAGTGGGAGAAAATCGCAACCTATCTGCCAGGGAGAAGAGACAATGTTCTGAAGAACTTCTGGAGCACTAGGCGAAAGAGGTTGCAGAGAATTTTGCAGAAGAGACAATGTTCTTCTGATCAACTTCTGTGCAACTATTATTTGGTGTCTTGGTAACTTTGCTTTAAGAAAGGGAACTCTTGCTGAATTACTGAGACAATTGCTAGTTTGATATACAAGAAATGAAGGATTCTGGGCATCATCAAATGCCCAATACGCATGCACATCCCTTTACTTCAACAAACATTTTCTTTTAGTTGTTGACCATCAACAAAATTACTTCTTTATACAATGTGATAGTGGAATATAGACCTAGTCTATACCGCCAGCTAAAACGACCATAAAACTCAGTATAAATAAACTGACATGATTAAGAAATTTACTGACTCCAATGGTGATGCAGTATCGGTGTATCACCTCCCAAAGTAATATAATAATGCCAAAACTAATCACACGTCCAATTCTGTATTAAATCGAAGGTTTTCACAGCTGCACACCAAGCACTCATGATACAGCAGCTTCCTCTCCCCTAGCAAGCAATTCGTGGTTGACCATACTCCAAATAGAAAGAAACCTGAAAGTCAAAATAAAATAGGATTTAGTTAGTGGAGATCCCATGACACTGATAGAAATCCTCCTTTTCATACCTCAGTTACTTGCATAACGCACTGGAAATACATGTTGCACAGTCATCTTTGTATAAAATGGTTGAGCAAAAAGGTTAATTGGCACTACCAATACTTACCGGTGAAAAATGTTACACCCCGTTTTTCTCTTGTCGCTTTTGGTCTCAGTGATTTCATACCTTCCCTGCGATTTGAGTTTGAAAAGTTTTGTACGATGGTAGGCTCTACCCTCTCCAAGAGGTTAGTAACCTATATAAACAAATGTGAATGAAACAGTGACTGAAAAAGCATCCCGCCTCTTTAACAAGTTACAGGAAGAAAGTATTAGTCATCTTTGTATAAAATGGTTGTGCAAAAAGGTTAATTGGCACTACCAATACTTACCGGTGAAAAATGTTACACCACGTTTTTCTCTTGTTGCTTTTGGTCTCAGCAACTTCATACCTTCCCTGCGATTTGGGTTTGAAAAGTTTTGTACGACGGTAGCCTCTACCCTCTCCAAGAGGTTAGTAACCTATAAACAAAAGTGAATGAAACAGTGACTGAAAAAGCATCCCCCCGCCTCTTTAACAAGTTACAGGAAGAAAGTATTAGACAGAAGATATTCATAAAAAAATTGCATATATTGAATTCCAAATGCTGAAACGACTAATGATAGAGCATCAACAAATACGTCTGACAAACCTCATCAGAACTGCCAAGATCAGAGTTGTCTACTATTAGCGTATGTATGATCTGGCTGCTCTCCTCGATGTGATCTGTGGTTATTAGAATGGATTTTTCATCAGAATACTTTGTTGAACGGGGATATACGCAGAATTCTGATACAGTTAGGTTTGAAGTGTATGTCTTACCTTCTCATACTTTTTCATAATCTTTGAAAATGCTGAGAGGTTCACAAAACTGGTTCGTCCATTTGCAAAAGTATAAGTACATAATACTTTGGCAACCCAAACAATGGCAAGACCATCTATCCAAAGTGGAAGGCATGCTGACACAATAACTATTTATCACCTGTATTCAGCACCTCTCTGCCATCACTACTAGAATTGTTGATATGAGTTGGTTTGACTTCTGAAGCACTGGTGCTCAGTTCTCGCTGATGCTTCTCATTGTCAGATGTCGCATCGGCAGACTCATTTCATGCACATTTGACAGGAAATTTTGTTTGTAAGTATTAATTAGATGATCTCATTGACAGATATTATACAGTGATCATCAACCAGAAATTCACAATTAACCACTCCTGATAAAGTGTTAATCCCAAAGAAAATCATACAGTTTCAGATGTTCGCACCTATTATATATATATATATATACTTACAGCATGCGAGTCTTCGATCTAGCATATACATGCACATATAGTAGAGAATGATCTTATTTCTGCATTTATCTGAAGCGTCAGCTCCACTTGACTTAGTACTTGTCAGGGGCACTGCAGAATTGATATGTCTCTTTGAATTGGAGCCATATTGATCTGGATTCTTCACCTTTATCCCGAGTGCAACAAAAACGTCCATTTGTTTATCCAAATGATTTGATTATAGCTTCACCTCCTCCACCTTGTCCTTGTAAAAATTATTGACCTCGTTGAGTTCTTCATCGAGTTTTCTGAAGAATGTTACCTCAATTTCTCCACCCTCTTCCGAATGCCTCAGGAACTTGGTGTTGTAAAACTGCCTGGAACCATCTCCACGCAATGTGTTGACATCAATTACCCAGTCCCCAATACCTCCATTAGTATTATGGAGACTGCTAGGAACGTTGTAGCTCTATGCCACTGACGATGGTTCTGCCAGGGGGAGGAGGTTTGGGGTAAGTCTTCAGAGTGCTTCCTTTGTTTGTATTCTCTGAGCGCCCTTAGTATCCTCTTGAGAGTCTGAGACCATTATAATCCATGTAGGCTTCCACCCAGTCAGGCACCATTTGTTTCTTGAACACTTTCCCGAATTAGTTTAATCCATTAATTGAAGTATGAAAACTAATATACTGAGTTTAATCATTAACACACAAAACATCAAATTGCGGAGATGCAGAGGATCCACAATATCATCATTCTTCAAACAATGGCAAGTAATAAAAACCTGAGTCCTTTTTAATAAATTATCAGCTGCAAAATCCACCTTACAAAGTTTGGGAGTCCACAATCTAGAAAACACTGTCGTCATCCTCTCTGACGCATATTGTCATACCAAGTGGTGCACGCAATACAACCTTAGCTAGCATCACTTTCCTCCCGAATAAAAATCTGGGCTTGGCATTTGATCGAATAACGACTGGGCACATCTGACATACCCAAATTGATCAACCCCTTTAAACTAATCAATTTGAAGATCATCGGGGAGGCCGTGTAGGACGAATGATGTCTTGAACTTGAGGGAATCGGGAGTTCGTTCGACCATTGTTATACATGAGTTTACCTTTATGGAACTGGAGCCCTAATTAGAAGTTAAAGTGCACCAAACCAACACCCTAATTGGACGTCTCGCATGTAGTGGGGGGAGAGAGAGAGAGAGAGAGAGAGAGAGAGAATAAGTGAAACCTAATTAAAGCCACGTTTTAATCCAGCCGTCTAATTTCATCCAACGGCTGCGAGCTCTCCGCAAATAACCTTCCGCAAGAGAGAACGGCTCTAGGAAGAGCAACGAGCCTTTGTTTCCAATTTCCTGATTATGCCGTAACTTCCTATATTAGAATTAGGATTCCTAATTAATATAGATTTAAACCCTAGGTATTCAATTCTCTATAAAAAGAACAAAATCGTCGAGAGAGTTAGAGAGAAGAGCAAAGACACAGTTTTTAATAGCAAAAGATATTGGAGGATACTGCAATCGTTTATTTGGGATGGGAAAGCAACAAGTTTCAGTTGATGGAATACAAAAGGAACAAAAACATAAACTCAACCCCGACAAGGATTTGGTGGTGGTATGTTTTGACTACGTTCCTATTTTTATTTTATGTTATTCTATTTTGTGTTCCATCGATTATGTTCATGTGATGTGTGTAAAGCTACAGATATGATGTTGTGGTTATTTATTTTGCAGAACAAAGATGGAATTTTCATACAATACGAGATTAATTATGACCCATCACAGATCTACTCTACCGGAAAAATCTACTTCAAAAATGGCGAAGAAGGAGAAGCTCGATTTTTTAAATTTGAAAAATCGGAAGAGGACTTAGCAAAGAAGACATTTACCCTGACTTCCAAGTTAGCAAATTATGATCGGCGTGTGGGTGTCTTGAAACCTCACTTCCTCACCTATTATGAACCACAAAATATTTGGATTTTGTGCTACGAAAAATTCAATCATCTTCTAAGTGAAATAAAAATTGATGCTGAGGATTTTGTCAATGGCGATTCTCGTATTCTATCTTTTTGGTGGCGCAGTTCCATACGGTAAAATATATTCATGCTCATATATATAATGTATCGTATAATAATTAGTACTGACATAATTTTTTTTAAATCTATTTGTGCAGGGACCTTTTACGAACGATAAAGCATATGCATTCTTATAAGTTGTTTCATAAGGGTTTGAATGGAAGTGACAATTATGTTGTTGTTTCCGATCGAGTCAAGATTATTAACATCCAAAGTAGTTTTGAAGATCTTGAAGATCCTCCTTCACAAGTAAATGTGTTGAGAATGAATGACTTAAAAGCATTTAGGAACATGTTAAAGGAAAAAATAATGTTGCCAGAAGATTCTTGGGTTGATCGTGATTCTTTCTTTGATTTCTTTGACAAAGAAGAATATCCGTAAGTTCAGTGTACTTGAATTCTTTTTTTCTTTTTTCTTTTCTACATGAAAAAGTATAATGTATTTTACTTAATTTGACCTACAAACCTTAGTGTTGAATTTTTGTTGCTTTTGTTTCCAGGTACCATATATTTATTGAGAAACTAGCAAGCCATCCCTTTTTATTAACTCCAGCTGAAAGAATGAAGAGTTTTTACAGTATACATGAGTCTGCAAATGAAAGCAAGTTCAAGAGAAGATTAGATGGTAGGGCATTCTATGAGTATAGGGAATGGAATAGGAAAGATATGGTTCCTGAGTTCCAAAAGGTTTATAAAATTTTCAATTCGAAATATGACGGTGATTGTGTATGGGACCTTCTAGAATTTTTGAAAGATGTATATGAAGATGATAATCCTCGTGATTTAAATGCTGTGTACGCTGAGGTCGAAAGGTTGTACCCTAATTTCTTGGAGAAGATTCATGCCATCATATGAAGGTATAAAATCTATATTCTATGTGAATATAATACTCTTTTCTTTGGGCATTTATCCTTGTAATTAGTCACTCTTGGGCTTTTATCCTTCTATTGACTTGTTCAATTCTTTTGTTTTATGCAGATCATGGTATAGCCAGCCTTCCTTCCACTCAATTTGAAGATGTGCCTTTTCTTGCTGTGGATTTGGGGACTTTTTTTATTATCTTATGTGCTAAGAAATTAGAAGAAAATAAATTTTAGGATTTGGGAATTTTTTTTATCGTATAGTTTAGCCTTTAATTTTGAATTCTTCCTTACATCAGCGTAGTGCAAGGAACAACAAATACAATTTCATGTTTTGCTTTCATTGCAGAGACATCTTAGTTCTTCTTTCTTTTTTGGTCGATAAAGAAGAGACCTCTTATTTATCAAGATGAAATGCATAACCGTAATGTTTCCAAGATCCTTCTTGAAGTGTCTTACCTTCTCATACTTTTTCATAATATTTGAAAATGCTGAGAGGTTCACAAAACTGGTTCATCCATTTCATCTTTTCATCAAAGAACTCTAATGGAATGCCTGCTTTTAATCTTTGCTCAAAACTCCTTTTCATTAATTTTTCATACAAAGATGGATGATTTTATATATAAAAAAAATTCTCCAAATGACAAAGTTGGCCTTTGAGATTAGATACGTCATTGAGGTTAATTTTGTCATTTGCATAAGTTTTTTTTCCCAATAAAATCATCAATTTTGAACAAACAACCAACGAAAAGGAGTTTTGTGAAAACAAATTGAAACCTCAGGGGGTGTTCATGTAATGTTTAAGACATGGGGGGTATTGTGAAAATACAAGAAATCTCAGAGTGTGTAGTGTAAATTACTCTAAAAAACAAACGATTCAAATCAAGAAAATTGACTAATTAAAGATGGAAAATCATGCTTAAAAGCTAAGTACAACACTAGAAAGGAAGTATACGTATATTTATGGGATTTTCTTGTTGCTTGAGCTAATTTCAAGAAAAGTTTCTTTTTGGAAAGATTTTAATTTAATTTCTTATGTCATATTTAACCACAACATAAATAATCTTTAAGATATTATTTTCCTGATATGGTTATATTATTTTTATCAATAATTTAGGATTTTAATATATATTTTCTTATCATCCAAGTTTTAGGATATTAATTCCACACTTCCGTTTTCCACACGCACGCATTCTTCTCCTTTTTTTCTTTTTTGGGTGAACGTGCTTTCTTCTCCTTTTCTCTTGGGTGCCTTTTGTCTAGTTTGGGTCCCGAATTTGTTCCACTATATTAGAATTATGGTTTCTGATTAATTAACCCTTGGCACAACACAGCCATTATTCATTCAATCAAATTAAGTACAAAGAGTTTAGAGAGAGGAGAGCAAAGTGACAGTTTTTAATAGCAAGAGAGAGTGTTTTCATATTGGAGGATACTGCAATCGTTTATTTGGGATGGGAAAGCAACAAGCTTCAGTTGATGGAATACAAAAGGAACATAACCATAAACTCAACCCCGACAAGGATTTGGTGGTGGTATGTTTTCACTATTGTTCTATTTTATTTTATGTTATTCTATTTTGTGTTCCATCGAATATGTTCATGTGATGTGTGTAAAGCTACAAATATGATGTTGTGGTTATTTATTTTGCAGAAAAGGGGTAGAATTATCATACAATATTACGAGTTTAATTATGACCCATCTCGGATCTACTCTACCGGAAAAATCTACTTAAAAAATGGCAAAGAAGAAGAGGCTCGATTTTTTAAATACGAGAAATCGGAAGAGGACTTAGCAAAGAAGATATTTACCCTGACTTCCAAGTTGGCTTCCAAGTTAGGAAATTATGAGCCTGTGTATGTCTTGAAACCTCACTTCCTCACCTATTATGAACCGCAAAATATTTGGATTTTGTGCTACGAAAAATTCGATCATCTTCTAAGTGAAATGAAGATGGATGTTGAGGATTTTGTAGAAGGAGCTCGTATTCTATCTCTTTGGTGGCGCTATTCGATTCGGTAAACTATAGTCATGCATATATATTTTCGTTTGAATTTATATATTGTATAACAATTAATACTCACATAATTGTTTTTAATCTATTTGTGCAGGGACGTTTTACGAACAATAAAATATATACATTCTCATAATATGTTTCATAATGGTTTGAACGAAACGTACAATTATGTTGTTGTTTCCGGTCAAATCAAGATTATTAACATCCACAGTAATGTTAAAGATCTCGAAGATCCTGTACATCCATCAAAATTACAGGCGTTGAGAATGAAGGACTTAATAGCGTTTAGGAACATGCTAAAGGAGAAAATAATGTTGCCAGAAGTCCCATGGGTTGATCGTGATTATTTCTTTGCTTTCTTTGACAAAGAAGATGAATTGTAAGTTTAGTGGACTTGCAAACTTTTTTTTTCTCTTTTCCAAAGGAAAGTAGTATAAATGTATTTTATTTAATTTGTCTTACAAACCTTAATTAGTGTTTAATTTTTTTGGCTTTTGTTTTCAGGTACCCTATGTTTGTCGAGAAACTAGCAAGCCATCCATTTTTATTGACTCCGGCTGAAAGAATGGAGTGTTTTAACGATATATATAAATCCGCTTTCGAAAGCAATAAGTTCAAGACAATTTTAAATGGTAGAACATTCCTTAAGTATAGGAACTGGAATAGGAAAGATATGGCTCGTGAGTTCCAAAAGGTTTATAAACGTTCCAATTCGAAATATAACTGTGAATGTGTCTGGGATCTTCTAGAATTTTTGAGAGATATATATCTCGATCTTCCTCGTAATATGAAAGCTGTGGACGCTGAGGTCAAAAGATTGTACCCTAATTTCTTGAATGAGATATTTGCCATCGACTGAAGGTAAATCTGTTCTATGTGAATATAATACTCTTTTATTTGGACTTTTATCCTTGTAATTAGTCGCTCTTGGTCTTGGGCTTTTATCCTTCTATTGACTTGTTTAATTCTTTTGTTTTATGCAGATCATGGTATAGCTAGCCTCTCTTCCACTCAACTTGAAGATATGCTTTTTCTTGCTGTGGATTTGGGGACTTCTTTTTTTTCCGTTAGGTTTTAGTTGGATTGTGAAACTTTTTTAATCGAGTTTTTGTTTTTTAAGAGCATTGGAAGACATCATTATTTTTCTTAAAAAAAGAAAAAAGACTTTTGCCCCACCCTCTCATAGTAACATCTTCCTTCCTCACAGCCAGCCTCCTCCCTCCCTCCACCCCAAACTCCTTTCGTTAAAAAAACAAACAAACAAAACAAAAGTGTATTATTTGGCAAATACATAAATAAACTATAAATAAAAAAAGGGTTCTACAAGCTTGCATGTTGGGATGAATCTCAGTTTTAATAAATTCACTAGGACAATACCACCAGCACTTGAAAATCATTGTCGTTCAAAACAATTATGAAGAAGCATCTCCAACCGTCTAGGATTGGGTTGCCGTCTTCGTGTTCTTGCTAAAAAGGCACATTCATGGAAGAGGGAGAGAGTTATCGAAGATGTGGGATGGCTGCTAGGTTTATTTATTTTTTAAAATTTTTAAAATTTTATTTAAACTTAATTAACACGGTTAAGTTGAAGTTAATTAAATGGATGAGTGAAAAAAATTTAAGAGTAAAGTGTCAAATCTTAAGTCGTTAGATTATTGAAATGGCCTAGACATTGCGAACTACGGATAAATGCACTATTTGTAAATGTAGAGGCTCGGGATCCCAAGACATGACCTTCCAAGTCATATGACATGTCACATAATTTAAGTACTAAAAAATTCAATCCTTTACACGTCATTATTGTTGGCATATTATTATTACCTGAACATCCCTATATATACATATATATATATATATATATATATAACGTTTTTCTTAAATTAAGGAGTTTAGATGAACCATAAACCCTCTTAAATTAAAAGTAGGTACATAAAAATTTTGAATTTAAACAATACAAATTTATAAATAACCCAATCCTAGATATGTATTTATAAAAAAACCCAGCACTATTTAAACATAGAAACACACCCAAAATCAACCCCAAAGTCAACTTTTTGGGTGTGTTTATAAATGGGTTTTGAGTGTATGTAATGATGGGTTTTGGGTGTGTTTATATGTTTAAATAGTGCTTGGGTTTTTTTATAATTTCAACCCCCATTTTGGGTATTTTAGTGAAACCCCCTTTAAACAATGGGTACATTAATCTATAAACGAATATTGAATTAATGTGAATTAATGAGAATTCATAAGAATTGATGGAATGAGTATTGTCGAAGAAAATCATTAAATTTCAACAGTTTCTCAAAGAAGAAAACAAAATGAATGGTAAAAGAAAGAAATCAGAACATTAAATGCCACCAATTTGGCAAAGAACTACAATTTCAAAATTTAATAAGAAACAAAAAGAAAAACGTCCCCGCAATTTTTTTTTCTTAACCTTATGGCGGCTACACTACTCTTATAGTGTTTATTATTTTAATAAAGTATTTATTTAAAAAAAAACAAACAAACAAACCTAATGGCAGCTTTATTATTTATGATAAAAAATAAAATATTCAAAATCAAGAAAATGGGGACCAGAGATGGAAATCATGCCTGAAAATCAAGGATATTGCTAAAAAGGAAGGATGACGTATTCTTCGGTTTTTCAGATTGCTAGAATGTTTTATTTTTATTTTTTATAATTCAAATAGAAACTTCATTAGATAAATTTCAATGGTACAATTAAAGACATCTAAAATACCAATCTCATAACATACTAAAAGCAAAATTAAATAGTCCACTAGGATATTATTACTATATATATTCTGGTTGGGCGTTCCTTCTAATGTTAGCTTTTTTTAATCCCTAAAATTTCGAGCAAGAAAATCCCTAAATCATTTGATAATGTATTTCCACTCAAGTTAATAACGTTGACTGAATTTGTTTCCTTAAGAATAATAGGCTCAATCACGGCATGCATACTTTATCTTTTTAAAAAAACAATTATGGGTGTGGCACGTATTATCTTCCCATAAAAACAAAAACAAATAGTCCTTTCAGATTTTATTTTCCTGATATGGTTATATCTTTTTAATAATTTAGGATTCTAATATTTTCTTATTATGCAAGTTTTAGTAAAATTCCACACTTGCCTTTTTTTTGGGGTGCAACGTGCCTTCTTCTAGGAAACTTTGTTTCTAGTTTCCCTTTTTTGTTTCTCATATATAAGAATTATGGTTCCTGATTAATTAAGGTCTAAGATGATCCCTTATAAAAAGGACAGAACCCTTGGCACAACACAGCCAAAAATCATTCAATCAAATTAAAGTACATCAGCTCAACGGAAGAGAGGAGAGAAAAGTGAGAGAAGTAAGAGTTTTTAACAGCAAAAGATTGGAGGAGTATTCGTACTGCACTCTGTCGTGGATTCCTGAATCATGGACGTAATAGACTTGTCAAATGTGAGAATTACACGGGATGGATGTGTATTTTTCTCTAAAAGTTAGTTTTTTCATTCATTCATTTAAATTATTGATGTGTTTGTTGCGCAGGCAACACACGGGGAAGCTGCTAAAGCCTGTGGTCTTATCTTTTTTTGGGAATTTGGTAAATACAAGAAAGTTTCTGCTCTTGTTACGTCTGTTATCCGTACTGGGGTAAGGGATAAAATAATACTAGTGATTAAACAAGAGAAGACATGGAAGATTGCCTTCTCACTTTGTGGTGTCACATGGCCCAGAGGTGAGGAGCCTTATGCAGATGAAGCATTTGAACTACTGAGGCAAACCATACTTCATACAAAAGTGGAGGTAAGCACTTATCTGGTAGCTTTGATTTCCCCTGGTTTTCTTCTTGCTTCGACAAATACTATCTCTTGTACAGGTTCTATTGGATACTGTTGATGGAGATGGATATTTCATTGGAACGTTATTGGCGTCAAATACCCATGTAGCAATCCCCCTCCTTGAAGCTGGCCTTGCAAAAATGGAAGAAGCTTATCCCAAAGCTTATAACACCGAATTTAATAACGCTCAGAAGTCTGCAAAATCGAAGAAATTGAAAGTATGTAAAGCAGCATATATATACATGCATTACGACAACTGTCTTGCTTTTATCTAATTCTGTTAATAATATTCATTTTGTTGCAGATTTGGGAGACTTATGTTGAAACATCTCAGAACATTCAACTAGTAACAGAAAAGAGCTGAAGGGCATTCAAGAACTTGCAAAAGTGTCAAGAAGAAGCAAAGGTCAATATATATGGAGGAGATATCTAGCAAGTGCAAGGAACAAATACAGTTTCATGTATCTTAAGACGAAATTTATGGTGTTTATTTGTTTTTTGTTTTTGCTAAGTCTTATTTGAGAAGTTTTGTTGAGATAATATTTTCTTCTCACTTTCGTGTTTGTGTATTTATATATCATGAATGGGAGAAAATTATATCGTGTTTTAACCAGTAATACATAACTGGTGGTACATCACTTTTTTGCAAAAGTTGTCAACTAATTTAATTACTGATTTTGTCTCTTCATTGTATTTCTCTTTTTCTTCTGAGAACAAACGTAATTAATTGAAACTTAAGAAGGACTACAATCCTGACGCAAGAGATTCTGAATGAGATGAGGAGGTTCCTCGAACCAAACACACTCTTGGAAGTAATTCAAAGCAAGATCAGCAAGTCGATGGGTTACACCATTAGTATTGTATTTCTTAACTGCAATATGCCAAAGATTGCATCAGGAGCGTCAACACATACAATGTTCGCATGTAAACGTTTATTGGCATATTGAGTCAATGCATTAATTCATGCGCATTCTGCTCAGTGTTATTATGGAATTGATATTCACATGTGAGTGGTGAAAGGTTTGTGTGTGGTTCTTTTTATGAAACGCATATAGAGCATTAAAATGGTTTCTTTAACTTCAATCCCAATGGAAATGCACCAACAATGAAATTGATGACTGCACTCTAAGGTTTTTACGTATATCCATATACTTATTGTTGGCATAGGCTGCGATTTATTTCTTTATTTTTTGTTGTAAAAGTTAGGAATGCGCAAGACTACCAACATTTCTTGGAGATTCGAACCTGAGACCACTGGTTGGGTACAAATTTTCGTTGTCTGAAGGTGTTTACAATTATATATCAGATATAGGTATGAGAGATATATGCCAAACCTATTCAATGTACTTCAATGTCCTAAAAAAAAACCATAGAAATAGCCCAATAGAAATAAACACAAAGTAGAAGGAAAATTGGAAAAAAAAAAAAAAAAAAAAAAAAAAATCCCACAGGATTCGAATGCATTCCTTACTGGTTAACAGAAGATCAATTTTTATTTTTTCTCATAACCATTACAACCCATCTCAGATAACATATATACATGATACTCGAAATGACCAAACCCACGAGAAATCAGGTTTAATCTCAAACTTGAGCGTAAATCGATTTAAAAACTATCGCAGAACTCCAAATCCAAAACAACAACCTAGATGGAGAAAAGAGAGAAAAATAACCATAGACATCGATAACCATACCCATACCTGATTGTGCTATTCAGTTCGCGAAGGTGGATCTGCCCTTCAGCTTGCAAGGGTTGGCTCTTCCTCTTCCTTCTTTTCTCTTTTGCGTGCGTGCGTGCTTAACTTCTGTCTTTTGCGGATCATTTGAGGGTTAAAACTTTTAAAACAATCACAAACGTAAGATCTCATTAAAAGACATCTAACGACTGAGTATATACAATTATTCTCTCATCAGGATGTCTGCATGTTATTATTGTGCGGATGCCACTATAAAAAAGGAGGAACGTAGGGAGGATAATAAAAAAATTCAATGCGTCCGCACGATAATAACGCTTAAACGTCCGTATAGGAGAATTTCTATATATATTCAAACACTCTTCAAAGAGCTCATGATACTTGATGGATAGCTCCTCATAATCATCCATATATTATCTATCACTTGAAGACTCACATTTGATTTCACTGTTTGTTTGGAGATTCTTCAAATTGGAACAATCACATCTGGAAGAACCAAGACCATCTTCAAATTGGAACAATCACATCTAGAAGAACCAAGACCATTGCGCTCAGAGCATTGAACCAAGACCATGGGAATGCTAAGATGATTTTCAAACTTTTTGACATTTTCTTGGTTTCTAGACTTCTTGTGCTTATTATGGAACACCATTTCCAAACACACCTAAAATTAATTTGCACCCAAATATCTCTCTATTTATGTTAAGAGCTAGCGCACTAATACAAATTCAGACAAAACCATATTAAAACTGTTACCCTCTTTTCGGCCGGGGCGGCCGACGGAAGGAACTTTTGGTCCTTCTTCTTTTTTGAGTGCGGGGCGTGCCACCACCAAGCCCCGAATTTGGGCTTGAATGGAATGTGAGTAGATGGATGTGTTGCGTCCGAGACCTGACTTTAATCAAACGATTGTTCGGCCGAGCAAGGAACCTCCTCACAGCCTAGGCTCTTTCACTACCTCAGAGTCAAGGCTTTATGTGAGCAACCAAATGATGTGGAGTGGGTGGAGATGAAGATTGAAGGTGAAATGTAATGAAACGAATAACACGTGCATAAAGTAAAAGGTGCTTGAATTTAAATATAATTGAAACACAAGTGCGGAAAGTAAAGTGCGTAAAATAAAGAATGTAAAGGCAAGTGCGTAATTTAAAGTGCGTGAAATAAAGAATTTAAAGACGAGTCCGTAATGTAAATTGCGTAAATTAAATAATTGAAATGCGAGTGCGTAAAGTAAAGGGCGGAAAGTAAACTAGATTGCGAAGAACAGTAAAGAAACATGAATTGAAGTTACTGTAATTAAAATAGAATTGAAAAACAAGAACAAGAATGTAAAGGCATAATTGAAATCTATGGAAACTAGAACGGGAAAAATAAGAACTAGGCTATGGTTACATTATGCTACTCCTAGGATAGAAATTGAAGAGAATGTAAAATGACAAGTTGTGTGTTGTGTCGGGGGTCCTTTCTCTCTTCCATAAGCTTGGTATTTATAGGGGCTTCGGTGCGTCCCAATTTGGTCGGTCGTCAATTGGCCTTCAAATCAATCATAATTGCTCTAGAATATCTTCAATCCCTTGCCTCATACCTGTGATTTAATATGAATAATATTTGATTTGATTTTCCTTCCATCTTGAGCTCTCCCTCAATAACTTCAATTGACCATCAAGCTGGCATAATTCCTTCCATATTTGAATTGTAACCTAAGAAAATCCTCCTACGGATTATCTCTCTCAGCATTGACTGATTTTATGTATTCGGCCGCTTTTAGTCTTCCGACCGTATCTACATTTTCGGCCGCATATAGGCTTTCAACCACTTTTATGCTCTTGACCACATTGATGTGTTCGGCCACATTGATGTATTCGGCCACATTGATATTCTGCTACATTTATGATTTTGGGCTTCTATTCGGCTTTATTGATTAGGCCCACCGAAATATAGCTTGGGCTCACTATTAGTTTAATTGTCGGATCTCGGGCCTGACCCGGTTAAACTTCAACCAGGCTCAAACAAAAACATAGAATCTTATTTGGTGAGCCAATCTTCAACACCCCATAGACATTTGGCAGCAAGCCATTTGTGCTATAATAGGACAAAGTGTTAGGTAAAAACCTGCAGTTTGAAAGAAGACCAAAACTTGAAAAATAAAACCGGTTTTCTGTGGTTTTGCCCCCTGAACTATTTGCATATTGTCAATTTAAATCCTTAATAAATTTTTCAGTAAATTAAGGAGTCCAATTGTTTTAAAATCCCCAATTGAGGGCTTACTGCCAATTTTTTCCAATTCCATCCAAATTAAAGGTAAATTTGTAATTTAACGATTTTATAAAATAAAAGCCCTCTCCTACCCAACTTTACATTCAATGCACCTCCATCCTACCCGCCCCCTCTGTCTCTCTCGCCCCTCCCATTTAGACCCACCCACCTCCACCACGCCTCTTCTTTACCCTACCTTCTTATGAACGCTACCCGCCCCTACCCCACCCTAGCATCGCCACCGCCTATCCCTTCCTCTTTCTATCTCCCTCTGTCTCTATTTCCCTTCTCTCTTTTCCCCCCTCTCTGTCTTAGAACAAACCCACCTCATATATGCTAATTCCACAGCCATCTCTCTCGCCAAAGGCAGAGCCAGAGTCACTTGAAGAGAATGCCACGCCTAACATCAAAGCAAGACACAGACCCAAGAGCTCGAAGATCCTTCACCTTCCCCCAACAAGAGAATATTCGCTTGTAAATCCTTTACCTTTTGAGCTTCCTTCTCTCTCTTCCTTGGTTTACGCGAAACAAACATGAGTAAAATGCCACACCCCGGGGGTGTTGGACAAAGGCCCTCTGATGCCTAAGTTAGTTCGATTGGATCTTTGAGAAACAACAGCTAAAAAAAGGTACGAAGTTTTCTCTCACATGAATAGTCGGGTGGTCAGAGTCGTGTGTGATGGCACTTGTACCCAGTGGCGGAGGTACTCTATGGCCTAAGGTGGCCCTGGCCCCTCCACAATTTGTTCTCAACGCAGTAAAGCTTGGGTTTTAGTTCATATGTTTAACAATGCAAACCATATAACCATTCTAATGGCCCCCCCCAATTGCAATCCATAAATAACTTCATTTATCATTATATGTAAATTGTTTGTAGGCCCATTGCGCAACTAACATAAAAAAGGGAAGTATTAATCCTCTAATAATCAAACCGATGAGTCAAGGGAATAGAAAATAGTTTGACAAAAAAAAAGGGGAATAGAAAATAAATAGTTTAAAGGGAAATGAGATTTTATCAGTAGACTTTTCCGTTTTGATACATGAAATTAAGTACAAAGTTCTAAAAAAATATCCATTTTTTCTTATATATATATTATTGATGTAAGATTGAATTTTTTTTTCTATACTTGTATTACGGTTCGGCCCCTCCACTCATACAATCCTGGCTCCGCCACTGCTTGTACCATCTTACCAGTATGAGGGCACTCACGATATGGAGGAGATATCTAGCTAGTATGTGCTCAAGCTACCTACAGTAAATTTCAATTTATTGTTTGTGTTTTAACCTTCCAAAAAACCCTTATAAATAGGCCAAGTGAGAATATTTATATTCAAAAGTCGCAACATAGTAGCGAACATTTTTTATAAGTCTCAATAGATAATGAAGTTGTATTAACTTTCTAGATCACTAGTCTCTCCATACGTGCTTTCATGCCTGCGAGATGCTTTAAAAGAATAAAATAAAGTTATTTTAGAATTAAAAAAGATAATGGGTAGTTATATTTCAGAAAAATTGAGTGCTGCTAAACGAACCCTAATATTGACTGAGTACACCTTACTATCAAATTATTTATTGAATTACTAATTTACCCTAAAATAAAATGACCAAAAAGTATATATTGAATTGTGAAACACTACTATCGACGACTCCTCCACCGAACATAGCAACGCCTCCTTCATAATATCATTTATTCCACCGTCACACTAACACCGTCGTCATACCATCCACTTCTCCACCGTTACAGTAACGCCGCCACAATACCATTATACTGGTGTAGTGGTCGTCTAGTATTGGTAAATCTGATTTTGATTTTGTTATCAAATTGGTTATATTGTCTTGATTTCTTCTTCAGGGGCTAAAATGTTTTGTAACCTTCCCCTAGAAATTGGTTTTAATTTGCTCTTCAAAGGGAGAAGTTTATGGGTTGTTTAATATTGATTATCTGAAGAGATCCATGACCATGTGGGTATGATGTAGTCTTGCTGCAAACATCGGAAATGCCTTCATAGCTTTTCTGGTTTAGATTCAAATAATATGTTAAGGGCCTAAGAAAATCCCCTCATATAACTTGTGAAACCAAATAATAAGTTGAATGTTTGTGTCTGTAGTTCAATTCAATACATTTATAAATATGAAAAGAGGGCACAAATTCATGTAAAAAGATAAACTTGGTTTAGGATTGGTATTAGAGTGTTGCATGATAGAGTGTGTTAGGGTGCAACATGGGTATTTTTGATAGTTAAATAGGGAGTACTTAGTTAATTTTATATTTTAATTAAAATATTATGGTGTACTTAGATCATAGGATGTACTCAGTTAATTTTAGGGTTCGTTTAGCACCACCCTAAAAATATGATCCATTATCTGATTTTTCTTTTAATTTTAATTTTTTTAAATATGTAAAAGTGTGAATTTACCATATTATTCTTATTTAATTAATAATTTTAATTCTTAATGTTTGCATTAACCAATGACATTTTCTGGTATTTTGAATGTTTTACCATTCTTTGTGTTTTACTTTATATATATAGGTATAGATGTACGATTCCAATACGTAGATATGAACAAAGTACCAATATAATAAAACTATACCATATAGAGTAGGAAACTTTTATTTTATTTTTATAACTGAATATAGAGTAGGAAGCTTTGTTTCCACACTTTTCCCAATTTTTTGGGCGCAACGTGCCTTCCTCTATCGGACACTTTGTTTCTAAGTTTCCCTTTTTTTCCCCTATATTAGAATTAGGGTTCCTTTACTGTCACAGCACATCCACTATTCATTCATTCAACTTAAGTATTCAAGAGAGAGTTTAGAGAGAGGAGTAACAGTTTTTAGTAGCGAAATAGAGAGTGTGTATTCATATTTCTGGAGTACCGGGTACAGATCGATCGGACTACAATCTCTTTGGTCGACTGGTAAGTGGTGCCCCTATTTATATTACTGTGATTCGAGTTATACCTCAAGTCAATTCGAGTTATTTGGTTCAAGTTGGTATATCAAATATTTTATTATGAACGATTTGGATTATATAGATCCATAACATATTGGTATACCTATCTAGATTTCTATAAAATTAAAGTTGCTATAGGAGGGTGGCTTCGTAGGTCTGAGATTATAACCTTGAATAATGAAGCTTTATGAATCTTCCAGCTGATCATGCGTATAGTTTTTATCTTTGGAATTAATCAATAATATTATATAGTTGAATTGGGGTTTATTGATGAACAAGAAAATTTTTCCTTTCCCGGATTCATGAAATCGAATTTTTCGTTTTCCGGTCTCTCTCTTCTGTAATATCATAAAATTTTGTTCATATTTGGTTCTAATTGTAGAAACTAACTTATATTATGTGCTGAGGTAGAAGCTTAATTGAGATGGAAAGGCAGCAACCTTCACCAAATGGAATCCAAAGAAGATACAAACTCAACCCCAAAGAGGATGCGGTATGCTATATATGCCTAATTTCCATTTCTTTTTATTTTCTATTTATATCTTCTGCATATGTAATACATGGTGTGTGTATGCATGGACGTATGATGGGACATTTGCTTTTGCAGATCATTGATGCACGACTTACGGAATATGAGTTAAACAACCATCAATCTCAATTCTATTTTACCGGAAAAATATACTTTCAAGATGGTAAAGAGAAGGATGTTCGATTTTTTAAGTTTAAAAAATCGGAAGAACGCTTAGCCAAGAAAATATTTTTCCAAACTTCCAAGTCAGTTTATGGGAGAGTCTTGAAAGCTCACTTTGCAACTTACTATGAGCCACAAGAATTATGGATTTTGTGTTATGATTGGTTCGATTATCTTCTAGACGAAATGCAAGATGATAATGATCTCAAGAAGAAAGCGAGCAGTGAGGATTCCGATATTCTGTCATTTTGGTGGGGCAATGAGATTCGGTATAATATTATATTGATTTCTTTTATTTTTATTTTTTTCTCAATTATGTATCGTTTTGCAAATAAAACCCGACATATTGTTTTTAATCCATTGATTTCAAATATATATTGCATAGTAATTAATACTGACATTATGTTTTTTTAAATCTATTTGTGCAGGAACCTTTTACGAACGATAAAACATATACATTCTCATAAGCTTTTTCATATGGGTTTGAACAAAATGGAGAATTACGTTGTTGTTGACGATCAAATCAAGATTATTAACATCCAAAGTAGTTTTGCAGACTTCGAGGACATTGAGAATACTAGAAAACTAAGGACATTGAGAATCGATGACTTAAAAGCACTGAGGAACATGTTAAAAGAAAAAATACTGTTGCCAGGAGTTCCTTGGATTGATCGTGATTATTTCTTTGTTTTCTTTGACAATGTCAAATATGAGTAAGTTTAGTGGTGTTACAAACTGTTTTCTCCCTCTTCTAACTGAAAAATATATAATACTAACCTTAATGTCTAACTTCTTTTGTTCTCAGGTACCCTACGTTTGTCAATAAACTAGCAAGCCATCCCTTTTTATTGACTCCTGAAGAAAGAATGGCGTGTTTTAGGAATATACTGCACAGATCCACAGATGAAAGTGAGTTGAAGGGAATATTAGATGGTGAGGCACTCCAAAGGTATAGAAACTGGAATAGGTTTGAAGAGATGAGTCGTCGGTTCCGAAAGGTTTATAAATGTTCAAAATATGATGGTGAATGTGTATGGGATCTTCTTAAATTTTTGAAAGATGTAGATCTCGATCTTCCTCCTGAAGCTGCGGATACTGAGGTCAGAAGATTGTACCCTAATTTCTTGAATGAGATTTATACCATCTTATGAAGGTAAATGTATGCTATGTGAACTGAATATACTCTTTCCTTTGGGCTTTTATCCTTCTATATTGACTTGTTTAATTATTTTGTTCTGTGCAGATCATGGCATAGCCTCCCTTCCACCCAACTTAAAAGATATGCTTTTTCTTGCTGTGGAATTTGGGGACTGTTTTTCTTTCTTTTTTTTCCATTAGGCTTCAGTGGATAGTGGCACTAATTTTTATTTTATTTTTCATAATATTATTGTTTTCGTGAGTTTTTGTTTTCTAAGAATATTGGAAGACATTATTATTTTCTTGAATGACATACAGGGCGCCAATTTTTTTTATCTTGAATGCTGTCCTTTATATATAATTAATATGGATTCTAGTTTGCTTATGATAACTCAGACTCAAATCGATATTCTCATGCACGGAATATATTTGTAAGCCCCTACTAAATTGCTCTAAACCCACCACGAAATGGGAACGGATCCGCTGTCCCCATTTTCCATGTCCCTTTTTAAATTTTTTGACAAATGTCCATCCACTTAATTCCGATATAACACCGTTAAGTTCTAATAAAATAAAATAAAAATAATAAAAACTAAAAACTAAAATAGAAAAACAAAAAAACCTTGCAGCCACCACATAGGAGCGAATAGTTTTGATAAGCCTCAATCGAAAAACAAAAGTACGAGTCCAATATGTATGGGATATATGAACAAAGTACCAATATAATAAAAGAGAAATGCTACACTTACCACATTTTTATCCTTTATTTCTATATCACATGATGTGACATGTTCATATTATATGCATGTTTCCTTCTTTTCGGCCGGGGCGGCCGACGGAAGGAACTTTTGGTCCTTCTTCTTTTGGATGCGGGGAGTGCCACCACCAAGCCCCTAATTTAGGCTTGAATGGAATGTGAACAGATGGATGTGTTGCACTTCTAACTTCTGACCAAACAATTGATCGGCCAAGCAAGGAACCTCATTTTGGCCTAGATTCTTTCACTTTCTCGGACTCGAGAATGGTTAGGTTTCGTATGGATGTTTTTGTGATTTTTGTGGTTTAAGTAAAAAATAATGCAATTAAACTAAATATGCGTATAAACGTAAAGACAAGAATTGAAATGCGATAAATAAAGCAAGAAAGAAATAAAAGCGATAAGAACGATAAGAACGAAAATGAAATAAACTTGAAATTAAATTCAATTAAATGTAAAGGAATCGAAATAAACTTGAATTGAAATGACAAGAAATATAAATCGAACAAGAATTTAAATGACAAGGAAAATATAAACTTACACTAGGAAAAGAAATAACTCACTATACTAGGTGCTTGAAAAATAAAATCCTAAGTCTAGGAAAAGAAAAGTGCGAGACAAAAGATAAGTTTGTTTGTCTGATTTTGTGTGTCTGATGTCTTCATGGAGCAAGGTTTATATAGGGCACTCGTCAGCCCATGGGCTGGCCATTGAATGGCCAAAGGTCAACTCTTCTTAAAAATCTTTCCTTTTGAAGCCCCCTCTAAATCCGTAGGATTGCATTGATTGAGATATTCTGACTTGCTTGATTCTTGCTTGCTTTGGAACATTCGGAATCATTCCTTGATTTCTTTCCTTGTGAGGCCCTCCGTCACGTGCACGTAATCCTCCGAAAATCTGGGCTTGAATCGTTGGCTTAAACTCGGGCATCCTTAAAATGCCACCCATTTTTATTACATATATTAGATAGAATAATATAGGGAGGACTTAAACTCTCCTGCCCGGCTGCCCACTCTCATTATTTCATTTATATATATAAATACATATAAATATATATATATATATATATAAATTGGGGGCGGATCCGTGGCACCATATTTTTGACACAAGTTTTGACACAATTTTTGGTCCATTAGATTACTCCACTTTTAATGATTGAGATTAAATCTGACATGGCAAAAAATATTTTTTTCTTTAATTAATATTTATACATTGGGATTAATTTTCTGATACCACATTAATTAAGAATTCATTCTCTCTCTTCTCATTAATTATCTTTAATTAATTAATTCTCTCTCTTTCTTCTAAAGAGAATTGATGCCTCCTCCTTTGCCTCTGCTTCTTTTTCTCTCTCGCGTCCCATTCTCATCCCCAAAGCCACCATCGTGTAGTCAATGATCTTATATATCTTTCATTTCAAGAGCCATGTGCACAAGTGTTTGTGGATGTATATGGGTGTTTAGATATGGTCACGACTCACCAGCTATAATATCAAAAATTGCCACACATGCTTGAGGGTTCATCAGAATCGCCCCCTGTTCCTGCAGAACACACGACCTTTTCCCTCCCTACCATAAGAAGCATAGAAAAGAATGAGATCTCACATCTTTGCACCAATTTTTTCACTAACCGAGCCAGATACTAGAGAGAGAGAGAGACAGAGACAGACATAGAGACAGAGAGAGAGAGAGAGAGAGAGTCCTTTTGATTTGTGGTTTAGGTAGGGTAAGGGTTGGAGTGGTGGTGGTGGCTTTGGGGATGAGAATAGGACGCGAGAGAGAAAAAGAAGAAGCAGAGGCAAAGGAGGAGGCATCAATTCTCTTTAGAAGAAAGAGAGAGAATTAATTAATTAAAGATAATTAATGAGATGAGAGAGAATGAATTCTTAATTAATGTGGTATTAGAAAATTAATCCCAATGTATAAATATTAATTAAAGAAAAAAATATTTTTTGCCATGTCAAGTTTAATCTCAACCATTAAAAATGGAGTAATCTAATGGACCAAAAATTGTGTCAAAAATATGGTGCCACGGATCCGCCCCCATAAAAATTATATGTATATTAAATAACAATGAAAACTAGCTCCAGCCGCATCTTGCATTATTCATTCATATATATATGAATGCAATGCCACCACTTGCATTCATGCATTATTATATATGAATATAATGAGATAATTGGATTCCAACCCGAAAAGCCTACAGCCCAATTCGCAAAAATATCAAATGCTCCAGCCGCCATTATTCATATGCCCTGTTTGCTCGAAAACAAAAGCAACCTAATCGCAATCTCTAGCAAAAAAATCAGGGCTCTAGCTTGCCCATGGCCTTCCAAATACTCAGCCGCCAATAAGCCCAAAATACTAGATGATCCAAATCTCAGTCGCAATTCTTCAAACCCAACTCCAGTCGTGTCTCACCAGTTCAAATACGACCGCAACTCCAAGACTTCACATTCGGCCGCACTCAAACAAATCCCGACTGCAGCCTTCCAATATAGCCTGGCCGCCAACGCTCCAAGCAGAGCCCGGCCGCTCTTCTCCAGTCAGAGCCTCGCCGCCAACTCGAGCACCATTTCGAAAAAACCCGGGCTTCCCTCTCCAGCCCCATTTCGAACAAAACTCGGCCGCAAAACTCTCAGCCAAGTTTGAACTGCCCGACTGCATTTGAGAGTTTGCCCATCGGCTTGTTGGCTAAGAACTTGCTCTTTGATCGCAAGTCGCAATGAGATTTCACACAAATGTTGGATCAAAAGTTCGTTGGAAACTGCCATCTCCAAAAAATACATCTTTCAGTTCAGATATTTCCTTATGAAATTTTGATGTTCTTTATCCGTGCGGTCAACATATGGCCTCTCACTTACGCTAAGAACATTTTGGCCATTATAGCCATTATGATTTGTTTGGTGGGAGCCATAACTAGGCTGATCATAGATATTGGCTGGATTATTTTGGGCATCTGGGTAAGTGTATTGTCCTCCGGCCACCTAATTGTACTGGCCATTATAGCCATGTAGGCCATTCGCATAATTTTGATATATCATATTATTTTGGCCAACACATATTGATATGTAGAATCGTATTGGCCGTTATAGCCACCTTGATTCAAGCACCTTTTACTTCACACACGTGTTCTTCGTTTCATTACATTTCACCTTCAATCTTTATCTCCACCCACTCCACATTATTTGGTTGCTCACATAAAGCCTTGACTCTGAGGTAGTGAAAGAACCTAGGCCGTGAGGAGGTTCCTTGCTCGGCCGAACAATCGTTTTATTAAAGTCAGATTTTGGACGCATCATCTACTCACATTCCATTCAAGCCGAATTTGTGGCTTGGTGGTCGCATGCCCTGCACCCAAAAAGAAGAATGACCAAAAACTCCTTCAATCAGTCTACCTGGCCGAAAAGAGGGAAACATAACGATAAAGTAAAATGAACTTGAAATTAAACTTAATTGAAGTACGATAACAATGAAGAGTAAAGCAATTGAAATAAACTCGAATTTAAATGACAAGAAAATATAAATTGAACGAGAATTTAAACTTAGACTAAGAAAAGAAAGAACTCGCTACACTAGGTGCATGAAAAGTAAAATCCTAAGTGTAGGAAAAGAAAAGTGCGAGACGAAAAATAGGTATGTCTATCTGATGTTGTGTCTCTTCTGTCTTCGTCTGGTGAGGTTTATATAGGGCATTCGTCAGCCTATGGGCGGGCCATTGAATGGCCAAAGGTCAACTCTTTTAAAACTTCTTTCCTTCCAAGGCCCCCCTAAATCCGTAGGATTGCATTGATTAAAATATTATAATATGCTTGATTCATCCTTGCTTTGGAACATTCGGAGTTATTATCAAACTCCTTGATTTCTTTCCTTGTGAGGCCTCTGTCACGTGCACACTGAGCTCCGAAAATCTTGGGCATGAATTTGTGGCTTGGGCTTGGAATTCCGATCAATTGGAATGATACAAGGATGCCCTTCATGACCTTTGAATTCCTTGAGCTCGAAAATCGATCTGCCGAGGAACCTCATTTGATCTTTATATCCGTTTATTAATATATATATATATACATATATTAATAAATGGGCAACTTGGGTTTTGTTGTTTAATCCAATTTAATCTTGTATATATATTAAAAATGGGCAGCTTATGGAACCTCCTCAAACCTAAAACACTCCAGCCTAAAAAACCTGTAGCCTTCATCCGCTCCAAAACTGGGCATCAGCCACAAGAAATTTGGGCTCATCTTCCAACTCTCGGCAACAATCTCCAACCAAAGCCCGGCTGCATTTGAATAAGGCCCGAGCACCCAGCAGTGTTAGTCGTGCCCAACTGCACATGGCTGCCCAGCTTTATCCGACCGTGCCCTGGGACTCAAAACCCAACTATGACATCACCAACTCGTTTTGTCGAACCCCGGCCACATTCTAGCCCTCCTAGCTCCATCAGTGACCTTGTGCAGCTTGTATTGCTATGGCTGCAAAGCTTCAACATCTCAGCCGGGTCTTGCAAGGCCCAGCTCTAATCCCGACCGAATTTTTTCAAGGTCCAGCTGTTGTCTAGCCGCAATCAAGTGCAGCCTAGCTGCCAAAATCTCGGCCACCTAGGTATTCTTCGGCCGCTGGCATTTTCGGAAGCTGCCCAACTTGATCTGGCCCCAGCTCCTCCGGCCATGCCCAGCTGCATTTCTTTGCCTAGCTCTATGATTGAGAGCCCGGTCGCGACTCAACCAAAACCCGGTCGCGTCTTCCAGCTGTGTGGTCCGGCCGCACTCTCCAGCCAAGCTCGAACGCAGCCGGCCCATTCTTTCAACCACGCAGCCTTGCCCATTCTCCTAGCCACGTAGCCCAGCCACATATTAGCAATTCAATACCCGGCCACCTATTCTCCAAATCTTGAGCCATTCCGGCCGCAATAGATTGTAGCCTGGCCGCTCATGTTTCCGAAAAGTGTCCGGGTTTGGTGAATTTTCACCACCCCCAAACAGTAATTAATACCCGATCAAGGAAATTGTTTCTCCCAGTACATGCAATTCACTGCCAAAGGGGGGGAAAAGAAGCAAAAATCGGGATGATGTTTTCAAGGAAAAAAATTCTCAATTCATCTAAGAGCACATGGTTTGATAGCAGAGTTTAAGACACACCAATTACAGATGCATAAGTGTAACACCCCGACCCCAAATTTATCCCATGTTTTAATTTATTTAAGTGGAATTGAGAAATTACCCGTGGGATAGGGGTATTTTAGTCATTTTCTTACTCTGAAGGAATTTGGGAATTCCGGATGTACCGTTGCGTAGAGCACGACGAGATGAGTCCGTAGACACGTAGTGGGCTCGAATCGGAGTTGTAACGAGAGAGATATGATCAAAAGAAGCTCAGTGGCAAAATCGTAAATATTTGGAAAATAGATTTTTGGTTAAAAAGACGGAATTGCCCCCGTCTCTCACAGACTCTCTCTCTCTCGCGCGCGTCCCTCTCTCTCTCCTCTGGTTCGCGACCGCCACCACAGCCGGCCACGTTTTGGCCGGCCGTGCTCTCGTCCGGCCACCAAAGTTGACGGGGCCGGTACCAAAATGACCGGGCCGCCGTCCTCTTCCTACCCCGGCCAGGTCCCGCCGCCAGCCGCCGTGATTTCGCCGGAAAACGAGGAGAAAAGCTCCGGTTTTGACAGAAACTTCGCCGGCTTCGTTCTCCGTCGTCCGGCCGCCATTTTTGGCGATCCAGGTATGGAAATCTATCCTTTCCTCATGATCTAGCTGATGGATGGGTAGGATTTCGTTAATTTTGAGCCTAGATTATCTGATTTTCGAGTTAGGGTTCGGCCGGTTTTGGGTTCGCGATTTCGGCCACTTCCGGTCAGATTTTGGGGTATGCCCAAGAACAAAAGTGGCTCAGAATAGTGTTTTACATCTAGGATAGGAAGCTTGGCCTGCGGTTTGGAGTTTTCCGGCCGCCGGAAATTACTCAAGGCACCCACGCGCTGCCGGCGCGTGGTCTAGGAAAATGGACCGGATCGAGGTTCTAAAATGATCTCCTGGTTCTCACGAGCGCGTAGGTGTGCTCGGATCTCATTTTGGATACCGTTAGAGTCCCGAACGGATATCGCATATCGCGTATTTTTCGGGTTCGCTGGGTTTGGACCGTTGGATGGTCCTGATATTATAATATGTTGATCTAGGTATTACCAGGATCGTGTAGGATTCGACGGATCGTAAAACGGAGTCCCGGATACTCCGGAAATGCCAACCCTGGGGTTAGGGTTTTAGTAACCGTCCGATTGTGCATCGTGAGCGATCCGACCGTCCGATCTGGACCAAAACTTGCAGGACATGTGTCCTAGAGCCTGTAGAACCTCTAGGAACTTTCGGATCGGAATTTGGAGGTTGTGGGCCCCGCATGCCCGTTTGACCCTAGGTTGACCGTGAGACTTCCGAGATAGTCTTACCTTTATTTGAGGGTTAGAATGACCTTAGTGACAGGTCTTGAGCGTTGTTGAGTAAAATGGATATTGTGGGTTTAGGATATAAATTGGTGAGTTTAAATGTGGGAGTTTATGGAATGTTTTATTGGTTGATGTTATTGTATGATTGAAATTATATGATATATTTAATTTATTGTGTGGATGTGTAATGATATATAAGGAGATTGAATATTAGTTTACAGTGCTATACGCACTACCCCACGTACCCCCCATATTGTGATTATGTTGAGGCCCAAGTGATAGTATGATGGCTGGTGAGAATGTAGCCAGGCCAAAGAGAACGGTATGATGGCTGGTGAGAATGTAGCCAGGCCCAGTGTGAGGTCGCACGTGTCTTTGGATTAGCCGGCGTGTTGACATACCCCGTACGTGGCCGGGTGCGTCCCGACGTATGAGTGGGAGATATGATGGTATGATGGCTGGTGAGAATGTAGCCAGGCCCAGTGTGAGGTCGCACGCGTCTTTGGATTAGCCGGCGTGTTGACAGACCCCGTACGTGGCCGGGTGCGTCCCGACGTATGAGTGGGAGATATGATGGTATGATGGCTGGTGAGAATGTAGCCAGGCCCAGTGTGAGGTCGCACGCGTCTTTGGATTAGCCGGCGTGTTGACAGACCCCTGTACGTGGCCGGGTGCGTCCCGACGTATGAGTGGGAGCTATGTGATTATGTTTGGGTGTGTTGTGATGGATAAACCCGAGAATGTATGAATTTATATGGATGTGATGGTTTAATTGATATCAGGAGCCAGGATTGATAGGAAAGAGCTACGTGTGGCTTGATCCCTTAGTAGGGTACGTAGGCAGCCTGGGATAGCGCCTAGGTGCAGCCACGGCCTAGACACCACTTAGGTGGTTTTATCGAGTATGATGCGGACCTCGTGGTTGGTCCCGAAACTTGGTTGAATTGAGGCTTGTCCGGTGGACTGAGTGAGTGAAGGTGTGCATAGATAGATTTGGAATTTGTTATATGCATGTTTGATGCATGGAGTTATTTTAAAAGCAGTGTGAGTAGTTCTGTTAGAATCATTTGAAGGCTGGAGGCCATTTATGTAAATTGCATGAGATTATATTGTGCGTGCTGCTGGTTGGATTATAAAATGTGTTTTATGCAGGTGGAAATTTTGGGGAATGTTCAATTTACAGGAGAGACTCTGCCGAAATTTTGGCAGAAAGTCTCGTGCCCTAAATCCTCTCTGGTAAAGGAGGACATAGTTTTAAGGAGTGAACCCGGCGTGGGTGTGATGCCGGGGTCTCCGCAGGGTTCGTCTCGGGTTCTGGGAAATTCGGGGCGGGTCCTGTCAATAAGGGCCACTTCTTTCATGGAAAATAGGGTTGTAAGTTTCTGGATGCGCTTTATAGTCAACTTGAAATCAATTCAGAATTATTTATTTATTTATTTATTTGTTACATTGGAGGAAAGAAATCCTTTGGGGTTTTGAATCCAGGTGCCATGGGGCCGGGGGAGAATCCACCACCACTGTGGTGGGAACCCATTGACAAATCAATTCAGATGTTTTGAATTAAGATTAAGAGGGATTAAGCAACAATTAATTGAAGAACTATAAATTAAAAATTAAAAATTAAAAAAGGGGTTGTAGATTTAAAGCCCGTAATCCCCCTATAAAAAGAACAAAATCGTTGCCACAGCGGTTATTTATTAGATCGATCACCTCAATAGAGAGTACAAAGAGAGAAGAGCAAAGTGACAGTTTTTAATAGCAAGAGAGAGTGTTTTCATATTGGAGGATACGGTTTATTTGGGATGGGAAAGCAACAAGCTTCTGTTGATGGAATACAAAAGGAACATCGACATAAACTCAACCCCGACAAGGACTTGGTGGTGGTATGCTTTGAATACGTTTCTATTTTTATTTTATGTTATTCTATTTTATGTTCCATCGATTATGTTCATGTGTTTTGTGTAACGCTAAAAATATATTTTCCAGAATAATGATGGAATCATCATACAATACGAGTTTAATTATGACTCCTCTCATATCTACTCTAGCGGGAAAATCTACTTTAAAGATGGCAAAGAAAGAGAGGCTCGATTTTTCAAATTCGAAAAATCAGAAGAGGACTTAGCAAAGAAGATATTTACCCTGACTTCCAAGTTTGTAAATTACAAGGGTGTGGGTGTCTTGAAACCTCACTTCCTCACCTATTATGAACCACAAAATATTTGGATTTTGTGCACCGAAAAATTTGATCATCTTCTGAGTGAAATAAAGATGGATGTTGAAGATCGTGTAGATGGCGATTCGTGGTGGCTCGATTCGATTTGGTAAAATATATTCATGCTCATATATATATATATATTTATTTATTTTCTATTTCAAATTTATATTTTTCTATTTCGAATTTATGTATAGTATAATTTTTAATACTGACATAATTTTTTTAAAATCTATTTTTGCAGGGACCTTTTACAAACGATAAAGGATATTCATTCTCATATGCTGTTTCATAATGGATTGAACCAAACGGACAATTATGTTGTTGTTTCCGATAAAATCAAGATTATTAACATCCAAAGTAGTTTTGAAGATCTTGAAGATCCTGAAGATCTTTCAAATATACGTGTGTTGAGAACGAATGACTTAAAAGCATTTAGGAACATGTTAAAGGAAAAAATAATGTTGCCAGGCGATTCTTGGCTTGATCGCGATGCTTTCTTTGATTTCTTTGACTACGAAGAATTTACGTAAGTTCAATGGACTTGCAAATTTATTTATTTTTCCTTTTCCGCATGAAATAAGTACACTTAATTTGGCTCACAACCCTTGGTGTTTAATTTTTTTTGCTTTTGTTTTCAGGTACCCTCTATTTGTCGAGAAACTAGCAAGCCATCCCTTTTTATTAACTCCGGCGGAAAGAATGAAGTGTTTTTACAGTATACATGACTCTGCAAATGAAAGCAAGTTCAAGAGAATATTAGATGGTAGGGCATTCCATCAGTATAGGAAATGGAATAGGAAAGATATGGTTCGTGAGTTCCAAGAGGTTTATTACCATTCCAATTCGAAATATGATGGTGAATCTGTATGGGACCTTGTAGAATTTTTGAAAGATGTATATGTCCATCATAATCCTCGTGATTTAACCCTTGAAGCTGCGGACGCTGAGGTCAAAAGGTTGTACCCTAATTTCTTGGAGAAGATTCATGCTATCGTATGAATAGTCTTTTATTTGGGCGTTTATCCTTGTAATTTTTCTCTCTTGGTATAGCTGGCCTCCCTTCTATTGACTTGCTTTTTCTTGCTGTGGATTTGGGGACCTTTTTTTTCCCCCTTTGATTTTAGTAGACTGTGGTACTTTTGTTTTCTAAGAATATTTCATTATTTTCTTGATGACAATAGGTGCCAAATTTTTGTATCTTGAATGCTGTCCCTGGCGTTTTATTTTTATACAAGCAATATTTGCTTTGATTGCTAAATTAATTGGCTTCTATAACTTAATCTGACATCAGAGATATCCCAACAAGCCCACATCCTTTCCTTGTTGAATCTTTAAGCTGCTTGGTAATTAATACCCGATCGAGGAAATTGTTTCTCCCAATACATGCAATTCACTGCCAAAAGGGGGGAAAAAGAAGCTAAAATCTGGTTGTAGTTTTCAAGGGAAATATTTTTTTTCTCAATTCATCTAAATGGTTTGATAGCAGAGTGTAAGACACACTAATTACAGATGCATAAGGGGCCACTTATTTCATGAAAAATAGGGTTGTAGTTTTCTGGATGTGCTTTATAGTCAACCTGAAATCAATTCAGAATTTTTTTTTAGTTACATTGGAGGAAAGAAACCCTTTGGGGTTTTGAATCTGGGTGCCATGGGGGTGGGGGAGAATCAATCCACCACCACTGTGGTGGGAACCCATTGGCAAATCAATTCAGATGTTTTGAATTAATATTAAGAGGGATTAAGCAACAATTAATTGAAGAACTATAAAAAAAATAAATAAATAATAAAAAAGGTGAGAATTAATGAGAATTGATGGAATGAATATTGACAAAGAAAATCATTAAATTTCAACCGTTTCTCATAGAAGAAACAAAATGAACGGTAAAATAAACAAATCAGAAACAACCAACATTAAGTGCCACCAATTTGGCAAAGAACAACAATTTCAAATTTTAATAAGAAACAAAAAGAAAAACTTCCCTGCATAGATATATATTTATACCTAATGGCGGCTCATCCTATTCCTTCAATATTTTTGATAAAAAATAAAGGATTCAAAATCGAGAAATTGGGGACCATATATTGGAAATCATGTCAAGCATAACGCTAAAAAGGAAGGATGGCCTTTTTTTTTTTTTTTTTTTTTTTTTTTTTTTTTTTTGGGGATTTAGATTTAATTTTTAATTTAAAACAAATAGTCCTTTGGGATATTATTAATATATTCTTTTAATTATAAAAGAAAAATTCCAATGTTAAAATATGCGCAGATAATTGCGTAATATTATTTACTAAATTATGTGCAGAAAATAGCCTAAAATATATGTCGTCAACATTCATATTTTCTATAGAAAAGTTGATATAGATCCAAATTCCTATTGAGGATTTGGGTTTAATCTTCGAATTTGGTGACTTTGATCCAAGTTCTTTGACTAATAGAATTACATTCCTATTTTAATATCTTATGATGTAATCTTTATATTATTTTATTTTTAAAATCATTTTTTGTTTCAATGTTGCCTCTTATGACTTGAATCAGGTAATAGTCATTTATGTCATATTGCCTATTGCCTATTGCCTATTGCATAGGTATATATATGTTTTTTCAAATTTTCGACAATGTGTGATAGTATTTTATGTACATTTTTTGTTATAAATAAATTTTTTATTTATAGGCAACATACAATTTTATTTTGTCTATTTTTGTATCTGACTTATAGGTAGTCTTCTAATTTATGTTCCTAACTTATAGGTATAACACAATTTATCACCAAGTATTTTTCGTTGCTAATAATAACACTATTTACCTGTATGTCAAGTACATAATTTAATGTGGGGTGCTTGTCCAATCGATTAGTATAATATGTGGGTCTTTACTTTTTAAAATTAAAATTTAAAATTAAAAAAAAAAAAAAAAAAAAAAAAAAAAAAAAAAAAAAAAAAATTAATTTATTTATTTAAAAATAAATTTTTAATTCTAAATTCAATTCAAGGAAATAATGCATTAAATTTAGATTTTCAATGTGTTTTCCTTAATTACCTCAATGGGTAAAATCGACACAACAAAAAAAGTAATAAATGTCAAAAGACCTACATCTAAAACAAAAAACGAGGACTAAACCCAATGACAGCTAATCGTTTTGGACCTAAATCTAAGAAGTCCTATTTATATTATAATTTATTTACAAACATTTCATCAACTTCGTGTTTGTAACTGTACATTTTTTCTGGTTGGGCGTTCCCTCTAATGTTGGCCTTTTATAATCCATAAAATTTCGACCAAGAAAATCCCTAATTTTAGATAATGTACTTACGAATTTGTCACTCAAATTAATATTGTTTCCTTAATTTTAGAGATTTGTCCCCAAAATCAGAGGCTCAATCACGGCATGCATACTTTATTTAAAAAAAAAATTACGGCATGTATTATTTTCCCATAAAACAAGGGAAGTAGTCCTTTAAGATTTTATTTTCCCATAAAACAAGGGAAGTAGTCCTTTAAGATTTTATTTTCCTGATACGGTTATATCTTTTTAATAATTTAGGATCTTAATATTTTCTTATTATGCAACTTTTAGGGATATTCGACACGTGCATTCTTCTTCTTTTTCTTTTCTTTTTTCTTCGGGTGCAACGCGCCTTCTTCTAGGAAACTTTGTTTCTAGTTTCCTTTTTATATTTTTTTTTCCCTATATTAGAATTCGGGAAAGTACATATTAGAATTTGTGTTATGGTTACCTCCCTTTCCCGATTTTCTTACTTAATTGCTCTCTCACTTCCTGATTGTTCTTTTATTATTATTTTGTTTAAATAACTGAGGCTTTGTATAAATAAACTCTTCCTTGCAGTCTCTCTCACTCGGTCTCTTTCTTGAGTCTTGGCACCCCTTGTCGAGATCTACAACCGCATTCAATTTTCGTCAATTGTGTAGGTACTTGATCCTCGAACTCTAAGAACTTCTTCAACAATACTGATACGTTTGATCTGCATGTTCATCATATATGTGTTTTTTCATGTGCCTTCTGTCGTGTCTATGCCTATTCCAATTTACCTGTCCGTTATTCTTTGTCGTGTGTATGCCGATGAAGCAAAGGAATTTGTGAGAGCAGGCCTTATTGGGCATCAAGTATGCAGGAGAATTATTTCTGATATGTTGCCCTTTCTTTCTCACTTGTGTGCAATTTTTTTGGGTATATTTTGTGGAAGAGTTTTTCTCTTTATACTCACTTAACCATGCATGAATAGTAAGATTTTACTTGGAATTGCATGTAAATATATTTAGGTGCACAATTAGAATCTTGTCTGGTTAATCTCTCCTGTTAATTGGTGTGAATGCTTATTGATATTTTCGAATAATATGAACAGATATTGGAGTCTATTTGTTTTACCTTTTGTATTTTTGGCTAACAAAAGCTTGAAGCCTTATGAATCTTTGGAAACATTAATATATATAGTTGGATTGGGGTTTATTGCTGAACAATAAGATCTTTCCTTAATTATAGATGTCTCTATTTTTTGCCATTGAAGTATATATATCAAGAAAAATTAATGAACAAACAGTTGCAGGTGCATGTTCAATTGGATTCAGGAAAGCCCGGCGTTGAAAATATGAAAACATATTACTACGGATCAGTCTTCCTTGTAAACGATGAGGCTTCTGCTCTTGATAGCCGGAATGTTTCTGAGTTGGTCGTCGAAAAAGGCCTTGACATTGTTTTGAGACGTAATGATATCAAGGTTGCATCAAAGTATTGCGATGCCCTTTGTACTACAAAGTCAACGAATTCTGGCGTGGATCCTCCAGTCATAATAGACTTGTCAAATGTGAGAATTACCCAGTTATTTATATAATAACTACAAGGGATTGAGGTGTTTATTCTTTCTTCTAAGAGTTCGTTTTTTCGTTCGTTCATTCATTCATGACATGCGTTTGTTTCAGGCAACATGCGTGGAAGCTTGTAAAGCCTGTGATCATATATTTTCATGGGGCTTTGGTAATAAATACCAGAAAGTTGAGGGTATTGTGGAATCTGTAACCAACAACAAGAATAAAATTATACTACTGATTCAACGCAAAGAGAAAACGTGGAAGATTCCCTTCTCACTTAAAGGTGTGACATGGCCCAGAGGTGAGGAGCCCTATGCAGATGAAGCATTTGAACTACTGAGGCAAAGCATAGTTGATAAAAGGGTGGAGGTAATTATTTAGCACTTATTTGGTAGCTTTGATTTCCGCTTAGTTTTCTTCTTGCTTCGTTAAGAAGATTTTATCTATTCTACAGGTTCTACTGGAGAAATTTGATTCTGATTCAGATGGATATTTTGTGGGAACTTTATTGTTGGAGTCAAATACCCATGTGGCAATCCCCCTCGTAAAAGCTGGGCTTGCAAAATTGGAAGCACATTATCCCAAAGGTTATCGCAACCAAGTTAAAGATGTTCAAATCTCTCCGCAAATGAAGAGAATGAAAGTATGTGAAGCAGCATATATATACATGCATTATTATGACAACTGTCTTTCTTTTACCTAATTGTGCTAATAACATTCATTTTGTTGCAGATCTGGGAGAACTCAAGTGCCAAGAAGAAGTCAAAAGATGTGAGACTGTGTGTTGGAATTTGGTTTGTATTTCAAAACACAATTTCTCTTTTTCGAACTATTGCTCATCTTTAGTCGGTGGCTCTAGATGGTTTTCTTTTCATCTTCCTACATATATAATTCGTCTTGTTCTTTGTGAGATGGTTGTATTGGAAAATTATTTGGTGGGCTTCCAAAATTGATAGAACATTCTACACTTCTTGCATGGCTTTGAAAACTGTAGAAGAATGTTGGTTCCAAAACAATTGTGCCGTTGGTTGAAGATTTACCCCTACCACCTAAGTACCAATTTCAATTTTCCTATTATCCCTGCCTTTGAATGGAGTCCAATTGAACCTTTAGAAGTTTGTCTTCTTTAAACAATAATGTACATGTGAATCTTGTATTTATGATGATGAACCACTCACGAGAAAGCATGTCCCAAGCACTATGGCCCCATTTGGTTCATGGAAAAGGAGGCTTAGGGATGAAAACTCAATTGCTTTCTCATGTTCGATAAGTCCAGGCATGAGAAATAGTTGCATGACACATGGGAAAGTATAGGGGGAGAAAGTGAAGCCCTCCTTCCTCGTTGAATTTTGTTCTCCTCTTCATGGGAAAGTCTGGGAAAATGAGCCAATATTAATGCACATTTTTCATGACCATTTTGTCCCCATTAACAATTTAGAATTACAATATAGCATTAAACGCATTTTTTTTGTATAATTAGAAAATTAAACGAACTTTGTTTTGGATTCCTACACAAACCAAACATGTGAAAGGAAATAAAGTAGTATTTCCTGGTTACTTTCCTAGGATTACCAAACATGGAAAATGAATCTTCTATTTCCCATATCTTGGGAAAGGCATGGGAAATCATTTCCCATCAAATGTTCTCCGCAAACCAAACGGGGCCTATAAGTTGGCTCTGGATCCGAGTTCTTCTTGGAAGGACCTTTTGATGGTTCACTTCCAATATTTCCTATATATGTCCGGTGTCCTACCCTTGTGCCAAATTAGAACAGGGGCCATCGCTACTTCCAAGCTTTGGGTGTCCATCTATATAAAGTTATCAACTATTTAGCTTGCTTAACAAATATCCGGCATATAAATTCCCGTCGATCCAGAACTACATTCAATATTCGACGATTCTAACTTTGAGAGCTTTTTCAACAATAGTAATATGTTTCATCTGCTATCGCCCATTTCGCTACGTGTCAAAATAGTACAGCCGAACGGCTATACCATTTTTATATAAAAAATCCGTGCGGCTATACTCTTTACTTTTTGGGGGCAAAATTTGTTAAAGATTTGATTTTGACGATACTAAATGAATTCCTTGTGATCTCTCAACGACGTCGTGTCAACAACGAGCTCTCTCTCCCATTCCCAGTCGTACCTGCGGAAACGCTATCAGTCCTTGTAGGCTCCACCACTTCTTCACACAATAACGATCGCGTAATCCCTCTCTCTCTCTCTCTTTACAGTATGCTTGGTTACTGACGGAAAAAATGCTTTTGACCAAATTTTTTGGTTTAAGAAAAGTGGTGTAATTGGGGCAGTAAAGCACATTAATCTCTAAGTTGATGAAGTCACTTCTGAAGTTAGTATGCTATTTCTTAAAAATGCGTGCAGTTAGATGAGTGCACATTGATAGTTCAATGCATTTCAAGTACATTTCAATTTTGATTTGGGATAGGAAGTAGATTGAAATGTATCTGTATTTTGTGTACGTACTATACGTGCCCAGGTCGATGCAGCAGTTCTCCAGTACCAGAACCAGAGACTTCTTCAGCAAATAGACAAACAGAAGCATGATTTGCAAGATGTTGAAGCAAAAATTGAGGAACTAAAGGATAAGCAAGGTTCTTATGATGAAATGCTAATCACAGTGAATCAAATATGGAATCAGGTTATCTTAAATGTTTGGTTGGGTTTTCTTCCTTTTCATGGTCTCAATTGTGCCCACCAGGATGACATGTAATTTTATAGAATCTAATGGCAATGATGAAATTGCTAAATATGTTGAAGAAGCTCTCCCTTTTCGTCATACGTCTACTAGGGAGTTGTTAAAACTCATGGAACATGCCATTTATTCTCATAGGGAAAAAACAGAGAGCATAGTCCACACTTTGGATGGAAAGACATCTTCTGAAGGTCAGAGGTTCAATTGTAAATTCATTGTTGTACAAACTAATTTCATACAATAACTTTTTCATTTTTTACACTTATTTTTGAAGGAGTAAGTGCATGAGGAATTATGTACTGATTATAGGTTCTTTGTTTTTCTTGTGATTCTCAGATGCTATCATCCAGTTACCTAAGATTGATGATATGATGGAGAGGGAGGTTAAAAATCAGCGGGAAGCGATTGATATTCTTCACATGAAGCAGAAAGAGTATGCTGATGTAATTCGGACTTACCTTAGCGGCCAGTCAACAGATCAGTCTGAAATTAGGCGCATTACAGGTTTCTGAGATGGTTATAACCACAAGCCTTGGTTTTTTATTTGCATATTTAGTAGGAATGTTTAATCCTACACTTGATTACTTACGGCAAATATGTAATTTTTGTTTTTGTTTTTCATTTTTTCCCATTACAAGAAAATTTGAACCTAGGATCTACACTTCAGCCCATCCAACCCATGTCACTTGAGCTAAGGCTCGTGGCAGTACATGTAAAGATTCAGCATCATATTTAAAACCTATAGATTCAGGAACTTTGCTCAATTTCTGACAGAGAGTAAGTCTCAAAGTTTACCACTGTTTGGTGATGCTATCTTTTGATTGTTTGTTGAACATGTAAATTTTCTGTTATGGGTGACAGGTGAGCTGGATGACAGCATGACTGAACTAGAGGAGAGTAGGAGGAAACTAGTGAATCTGAAAATGCAAAAGGATGTCGCATCTGGGATGCAAAACCTTACTTCTGGTATAAATATGCTGCCAAATCTCCTTTGTACCAGCTCCAATTCTCACTCTTTCTCTGACATGTGTTTGAGCATGTTTTGCAGATACTAGCAGCTGATTGTCTTTCTGAGTATCAAGAGGCACACGAAGAAAATTTAACGGTGTCAAAACAATTGCAAGAATTTCAGGTTTCTATTTCAGTACTTTTACATGAAGTTGTTGCTTTGGAAATTGGACCCATGGATTATAAATTGGCAAAAATGTGGAGTGGCTGAGGAATACAATTGTGCGAGAGATGTTGACGGATGTGTTGGGAGGTCTTTGACCATAGAGCTGAAGGTTGTCATGCAGCTTTCTTTTCATTTCAAGCAGCAAAATACTCGTGCTTTCTTTTCCCGTAGTAACGATAATATAAATTTCAAGTTTTGAGTTTATAGTTGTAAGTTTGTAACATATATATTTAGAGGATCACAGTTGCACCTTCTCGTTGTATCAATTTCCAAGAAATTGGCACCCATGGCTCAAATGGATATGCTGGGCTTTAAGACTAATACTAGAGACAACCATGAGGATTTATCACAATGTGGTCACATCCTGGATGCTATTTCAGAGGATTTATCCCAATGCAATGTGTGAGGATGTTGGATGTGAACTCTCTGAGGATTTATCCCAATGCGATCACAGCCTGGGCATCAAAAAGCCAAAGGTGCTATTTTTTACATTCTTGTCAGCTTTGCTTTCGACATAATATAACATCACGTTTGTCAATGGATCACCAATTTATAGACACAATTTTTGTACTTTGGACCTCTGGTGCAGCTGGAGATCATTCTTCCTGACATAACCTATGCCTTTTTTCTCTCACACTCACAAGGCTCAGAAGGAAACCAAGCTACTCTTGGACAAGGTGTAGTCTTGTTTGCATTTTCACATTTTATGAGCAGGGCAGTGATTTATAAAAACCTGTTTTGCTTCATTACCAGTTTATCATTGTCTCTGGTGTGCAGATCCTAGCTGAGAGGGTGTCCCTGTATGATGAAGGGAAAAGAGACTACTTTCATTTGGAAAGAATGCTGGTTGGGCAGGATTTAGCGACTTCCTGCGTGGGTTTTTTCATTGACTTTTTTTTTTTAAACCTTCTCTCTGTTTTTCTCATTCTTTCTTTTCTTTTTCAAGGGTATTTAAGTCTTGGATATTCAACACCGTTCCTCCTATTGGGTGCATCTTATATGTATCTGTCCTTGGCTGCTGCCAAGGCTGCAGTGATTTCCGTGGGTGAAGAGATAGTGACTCTGGGACTGCCATCAAGAATCTGCCTCTGGTTTTTGTCTTCACCGGTTCAGGAATCTGCCTCTGCCTCTGGGACTACCAAGGCTGCAGTGAAAAAAATGCATCTCATCATAATTCCTTCTTTTGAGAATGGAACCGGGCAAAATTCACCTTCATTTCCTTTTTCTGCATGACGACACCCCTCTGCCGTACAAAGATAAATCCAGGTCATCCTACTGGCACAAGGAGTTTCAGTTTAAAGAAAGGCATGGTTCCAATCAAATAAGTTACAAAGTTTGTTTCTGGTGAAGCAAACAAGGTTAGTTAACTTAATTCACAACTTCGTACGTAGAATGAGTTTCAAAGCCAAACCAAGACCAAGCAACGTTCTACTTTAATTCACAACTTAATTCACAATTTCCGCGCTGGAAGTGCTTCGGGGGCTAAGGCCCCCTCCTGCCTGGGCTGGCCCCTTGCGCTATTAATGCTCTAAGCAAAGTAAAAAGAATTCTATGTCGAGAATGGTGAAATGACTTGACATAACAATAAATGCGTTGATTGCACCCAACTTTTGTCATCAGAATTGGACGTATCCATATTTTCTACAAATTATATAATGAACATGATGACGCCAATATTGTTAGCACAAAAATAACAGTAGCTAGCACAATTCAGCCTCTCATAAAATTAAAATTAAAATATATCCGTTTCACGAAAATAAGAGCACCACAATTAATCCTCTCATAAAAAAAAAATTATATCCTAGGAACGAAAAAAAAGACCAAAAATCGTCTTATAGTTCAGTGGAGCCAAGGCTAACGAATGGTCTGCACCAAAAGAAAAAAAACACGAAAAGCCAAATACAAGACTAATCAGAAGGATAAAAACCAGAAGGATAAATTCCTAAAATCTATTTTCTTCTATTTTCCCAGCACTTGGTAGATATCTCCTCCATATATATAGTGCCACACCCCCACCCCACCTATTGACCCTTCTTCTTGGCACTTTTGCAAGTCTTTCTGTTATTAGTTGTTGTTGCTAGAAGATGATTCATCATAATTCTCCCATATCTGCAACAAAAATGGATATTATATACACAGTTAGTTGAAAGACAACGCAAGTATATATATATATATATATATATATAATGCTTCACATACTTTCATTTTCTTCGTTTTCGCAGGCTCCTGAGCATCAGCAAGTTGGGTGCCATAATCCAACTGATAAGGTTTTCTCAATTTCGCAAGGCCAGCTTGAAGGAGGGGGATTGCCACATCGGTATTTGACTCCCATAAAGTTCCCACGAAATATCCCTTTATATCAATAGGATCAAGTAACGTCCTCAGTTCAACCTGTACAATTCACAATTTTATCGAAGCAAGAAGAAAACCGAGGGAAAATCAAAGCTACCAGATAAGTGCTAAATAATTACCTCCACCGTTCTCCGAACTATGGCTTCCCTCAATAGTTGAATTGCTTCATCTGCATAAGTCTCGTTACCCCTGGGGCATGTGACACCATCGAGTGCGAAGGCAATCTTCCATGTCTTCTCAATGCGTTGAATCTGTAGTATAATTTTATACCTGCTGGTATTGTTAGTACTGATAACAGATTCTACCACACCCTGAACTTTCTCGTATTTATCAGAGGCCCAAACAAAAATATAATCACAAGCTTCACCAGCTTCGTCGCGTTTTGCCTGAAACAAACGCATGCCATCAATGAATGAATGAGAAAACTAACTCTTAGAGAAAAAAACTAGTTGATCCCTTATAATTATTATTGGGTTATGCTCACATTTGACAAGTCTATTATATCATTATGTCTCAAAGCAGTGTCAAGACCTTCAGCAACGACCAACTCAGAAACATTCCGGCTACCAAGAGCATACTTCAGCTCCCTCTTCTCATTAGTCGTCATCATATAACTCCTAATTGCTTTCCTCTCTCTAAACTCTCTCTTGCGTTGATCTACTAAATTTGATCGAATGAAAAATGGTTGTGTTGTGCCAAAGGGTTTTGTCTTTTTTATAGGCGATCACCCTAGACTTTAATTATACAAATTTATAAATAAACCCAATCCTAGATATGTATTTATAACAAAACCCAAGCACTATTTAAACATAGAAACACTCCCAAAATCAACCCCAAAGTCAACTTTTTGGGTGTGTTTATAAATGGGTTTTGAGTGTGTGTAATGATGGGTTTTGGGTGTGTTTATATGTTTAAATAGTGCTTGGGTTTTTTTTATAATTTCAGACCCCATTTTGGGTGTTTTAGTGAAACTCCCCTTTAATTAATCGCCAACCCTAATTCTAAACTAGGGCAAAAAAAAATTGGGAAACTATAAACAAAGTTTCCTAATCCTGCAATAGAAGAAGGCACGTTGCACACAAAAAAAAGGAGAAGAATGCCCGTGTGGAAATTAGTATCATTGTCTCCTTTTCTTTTAAATTAAATTTTATTTTATTTTTTTAAAAGAAGAAGTTAAAGATAGAATAAGAAATTAAATCCAAATTTTCGACCAAAATCTTGCCCAAAAAGAAACTTTTCTTGATTATAATAAATAATAAATAAAAAAAGTACCTTACTTTGTAATATAAAATGCTGTAAATCTTTCTTGATTTAAAACTAGGTACATACATTAATCTATAAACGAATATTGAATTAAAGAAAATTGATCGCATGAATATTGAATTAATGAGAATTGATAAGAATTTTCTTATTAGACAAGTTTTAAACTTTCCTTTTTTCCACCACACGTGCATTCTTCTATGCCATATTGAGACATGGCATGGCACGCAAAATCCAATGTTAAAGACCAAAAAGTCAAATCCATATACCACGTTTAAGGCGTTGAGAGATGTACTTGCTAATATGAAAACACACTTTATTTTGCTATTAAAAACTGTCATCTTTAATTTTATGGCATTACACATAATAATCACGGTAAGCAAAAAAAAAAAAAAAAAAAAAAAAAAAAAAAAAAAAATTAGAATAGAGATGTAGATCTAGGAAATTTGCTGTCAAGGACCACCGTTGGATCACATCTAAGGGTTGTTGTGAATTCGAGATTTTTTTAATACTTTTTTTTGTTTTCACTTTTGGATGTTATGTTATTGAGCAAACTAAAAAAGAATTCTATGTCGAGAATGATGAAATGACTTGAAATTTATGGTAAGCTAAGACAACCATACCCTTCAAACTAGTGACGAGTTAGAAAAAGTATGTAGGACATTATTCTATCTTTTTATGGGCCTTTGGTAAATACAAGAAAGTTCATGCTTTTGTAGAATTTGTTACCCGTACTAACAACAGATATAAAATTATACTACGGATTCAAAACCAAAAGATATGGAGGATTGCATTCTCACTTTATGGTCTCATATGGCCCAAAGATGAGGAGCCCTATGCAGATGAAGCAATTGAACTAGTGAGGACAACAATATCTCAGGGATGGAGGTGATTATTTAGCATTTATGTGGTAGCTTTGATTTCCCCTTGATTTTTCTTCCTGCCTCCATAAAATTGTCTCTTACACAGGTTGAACTGGAGACTATTGATAAAGATGGATATTTTGGGGGATCTTTATTGGAGTCAAATACCCATGTGGTAATTCCCATCCTTGAAGCCGGCCTTGCAGAACTTAAAAATGTTTGGCCCGACAATTATGCCGGTGAACTTCATAGAGCTGAGAATTATGCGAGAGAGAAGAAACTGAAAGTAAGTGAAGATATATATATATATATATATCTGAATTATGACAACTACCTTACCTTTTAACTAATTGTGTTAATAGTATGTATTCATTTTGGTGCAGATTTGGGAGAATTAACATTAAGAGGGCACTGGCAATATGGAGGAGATATCTAGCTAGCTAGTATGTACTGAGAATTTATAAGAACATAGATTTTAGGAATTGTAAATTTTTTTATCCTATACTTCTTAGGTCTCCTTGTTGGCGGTCAATCGATGAAGCTCTTGTTCCCTTCCAATTCTTGATTAAAATTATATATTGACAGCTTAAGTTACCTACAGTAAATTTCAATATTCCTTGTTGGGCAGCTTAAGCTTGTTCTCTTCCAGTACCATGTCCATGCTCAGTCAATCACACCAGCTTGAAAGCATTAGAACCCCAATCTAGAATTACAGCATAAGGGGTCGTTCTGAGGAGAAGTACTTGGTAGCTCTTGTATTAGGAGATATGAACATAGTAGACCAAAATAAACCTATACACAAATAAATACTATAATATCATGTAAGGATGAACATAGTGTTATTCGGATGAAAGCTCCAAGAAAAGAGTATTTTATTCAAACTTGTTACATTTACATTCATATACGATCTTTTGACCTCAAAGTCCGCAGCCTCCTCGCAATCGAGATTTACATATTTCAAAAAACTTACAAGGTCCCGGACACTTTTACCATCATATTCATTGTTCGGACGTATATATATATACTTTGGAAACGAGGAGCCGTGTCTTTAAACCAATTCCAGTCTCTATACTCATCGAATGCCCTATCATCTCATATTCTCTTCAACTCACTTTCTTTTACGAAGCTCTTTATTTGAAGAAACCACCACCTTCTTTCCTCCTGAGTCAATAAAAAGGGATGATTCTCTAGTCGCTCCACAAATGTACAGTACCTGAAAAAATAATAATTAAAAACTAAGGTTTGTGAGCCAAAGAACATATTCTACGTACTTTTTTCACTTAGTAAATTTTAGGAACAAAATAAAAGTTGTAACACAACGAAACTTACTCATAATCTTCATTGTCAAAGAAATCAAAGAAATAATTACGATCAAGCCAAGAATCATATCCCGGTAACAGTACGTTTTTCTTTAACATGTCCCTCAGTGCTTTTAAGTTCTTAATTCTCCACGAATTTACTTGTTCAGGATATACAGGATCGTCAAGATCTTCCAAACTATTTTGGACATTAATAATCTTGATTTGACCGGAAACGACAACATAATTGCACGTTTCTTCCAAACCCATATGAAAAAGGTCATGAAAATGTATATGTTTTAATGTTTGTAAAAGATTCCTGCACAATGGATCAAAAACATTATCAATATTAATCATTATAAAATAAATATTTGAAACACACAAAAAAACAAAAAGGACATGAACATATTATACCGAATTACATTGCCCCACCAAAGAATTAGACGACCATTACTCAATAGCATTGCAGGATCCATATCATCCACCATTTCACCTAGAAGTTGATCAAATCGATGGTAGCACAAAATCCAAATATTTTGAGGTTCATAATAAGCGAAGAAGTAAGGTTTCAAGATCCCCACATGATTTAACTTGGAAGTTTGAGTAAATATCTTCTTAACTAATGCTTCCTCCGATTTTTTGAACTTCAAAAATCGAGCCTCTCTTTCTTTGCCATTCTCAAAGTATATTTTTCCAGCAAAATAAGATTGAGATGGGACATAATTGAACTCATATCCTATGATTCTTTCATATATCTGCATAAGAAGTAGGTGCAACATCATATTTTTACTATTATACAAGCATCACGTGATCAATTGATGCAGTGACATAAAATAAATGGAAAAGTAGTCAGCGCATACCAAATCCTCAACGGCGTTGAGTTTATGTCACTTTTGTACTCCATCAATTGAAGCTTGTTGTTTTTCCATTACTATTAGGCTATTACCCGAGTCTAAATAATACAACTCATCAACCTCATTATCTATTGAGGCTTATCAAAATTGTTCGCTCCTATGTTGCGACTTTTGAATATAAATAAATATTCTCACATGAGTTTATATATCTAAACCTCACACCTTTTTTTCACTCTAATATTTAAATCATTAAGTTCTTAAGTTTTATTATTGTGTAAAAAGACAAAAAAGTCATCTAACTTAATACTAAACTCTAGTTTATCTATACACACACCCAACACTCTTCATATTAAGTTTTAGAAAAACACAAACTCCTCTACACCATATTGTCAGATTACTTTTCTCTTTCAATCAAGGAAATGCACTACACTCTCATTTACTCTTCACAAACCCTAAATACGGTATGCAAATAGTGGCTTGTGCGTCGTCAATTGAGGTATGTAATGTGATATTATTTCTTGGCTTAGTTATATAGTGGTGAGGGGCAAGATAGCAGGGTGTGGGGCGTGAGGTTGTTGATTTTTTTTTCCTTGATGGGTGTGTATTTAGGGGTAGTTTCGGAAGATAGTGGGATTTTCTTAGAAATTGTGAAAATTTGAATTAGAACAAAGAGAAGTGTGGGGTTTAAATAGAAAAACTATTCTCACATGGCCTCTTTAGAAGGGTGTTTTGGAAGGTTAAAACACAAACAATAAATTGAAATTTATTGTAGGTAACTTGAGTTGTCGATATATAATTTTAATCGAGAATTGGAAAAAGAGCAACAAGCTTCATAGATTGACAGCAGACAAAACTGATCAACAAGGAGAACCAAGAGGTATATCAAAAGGTAGCCCACAGAACTAAGGCTAAACTATAAGATAAAAAATTTCTCAATTCCTAGAATTTATTTTCTTCAAATTTCTTAGCCTATACTAGTTATCTCCCTCCATAGCGCCAGTGCATTGGTAAGATGGTTCAACATAATTCTCCCACATCTACAACAAAATGAATAAATATTATTAACACAGTTAGTTAAAAGGAAGACAATTGTCTTAATGCATATATATGCTGCTTCACATACTTTCAGTTTCTTCGTTCTTGCAGACTTCTGAGCTTTATTAAGTTCATCGTGGTAAGCGCCTTTAGGATACTCTCCTTCCATTTTTGCAAGTTTTGGTGCTTTATCAAGTTCATCGCGGTAAGCGCCTTTAGGATACTCTCCTTTCTTTTTTGCAAGTTTTGCAAGACCAGCTTGAAGGAGGGGGATTGCCGCATGGGTATTCGACTCCAACAATAAAGTTCCCACGAAATATCCATCATAATCAATAGGATGATTAGTGCTCAGTTCAACCTGTACAAGAGACACAATTTTATCGAAGCACAAAAAAATCCCAAGGGGAAATCAAGGGTACCAAATAAATATTGCTAAATGCTTCACCTCCACCCTTCTTTGGAGTATGGTTCGCCTCAGAAGTCGGAATGCTTCAGCTGCATAGGGCTCCTCATCTCTGGGCCATATGACACCATCAAGTGAGAAGGCAATCCTCCATGTTTCCCCATATTGTTGAATGAATAGTATAATTTTATTCTTATTGGTAGTATGGATTACAGATTCCACGACAGCAGGAACTTTGTTGTATTTATCATATAAGTATAAAAATATATGATTACTGGCATTACCAGCTTCCTGCCAAGTTGCCTGAAACAAACACATCAAATGAAACAATGCATGAAAAAACGCTTAGAGAAAACACATTAATCCCTTGTAATAATAATTACTATAAATTATGGGGTAATTCTCACATCTGACACGTCTTTTATGTCCATGACTAGGGGATCCACGCCAGAATGCATTCCTTTCTTATTAAGAATAGCCGATGATTCTGCGTTACAAAGGGCATCATAATAGTTTGATACCACCTCAACATCATCACGTTTCAAAACAGTGGCAAGGCCTTCTGCGACGACCAACTCAGAAACATTCTGGCCATCAAGAGCTGTTACAAGGAAAACTGATCCGTGGTGATATGTTTTTATATTTTCTATGTCGTGTTTCCTTGAATACTCCAATTCAACATGCACCTGCATGCAAGTGTTTGTTCATTAATGTTTCGTGGTATGTATACTTCAATGGAAAAAAAAATGAGATTTTTATAATTAAGATAACAACACATATAAAAAATAGTTCTCATGCATACTTGACGACCAATAAGGAGTGCTCTCACAAACTCCTTCGCTTCATAGGCATACACCTCCCGTTCTACTCCACTACCGTCCGATTTCGGACATGAAATACTTGAAAGAAGAACTTCATACTCGTGTTCACTGCTATCTTTAAAAGAATCATCAGCCACAATGATGATGTGATCCCCACTTACAATTTCCACAACCTGGAAGAAAACAAAAATCAATTACACATATGCAGACAGATGACAAAGAATATATAACGGCCAGGTAAATTGGAATAGGCATACAAATGACAAACTATAATTGCGTGATATAAATTTTCATAATAATCAAGAATTTATCAAATACTACGTACCGTTCCTATGAAATTCTGGTGTGGAATCCTTTCCAAAGCTCTGGGTCGGGGTACGTAGTCTTCCCTAACTCTTGATCTTCCTTCGTTAGCCTCATAATCTGCATTTTTTAGCTCCATCATATATACTCCTCCAATATGAATAACCAATGTGCCAAAGATCCTGTTCTTTTTATAGGAGAATATATGAGAATAACCTAAGATTAATTAAGAATCCTGTGTACTGCAAAATCAGAAACTGGAAACAAAGTTTCCTACTCCTACAATAGAAAAAGGGGCATGTTGCACCCGAAAAAAGAAAGAAAGTTTGCACGTAACGAATATCCTAAAACTTACCTAATAAGAAAATTAAAATCCCAAATTATTAAAAAGGTAAAACTATATCAGGAATAAAATATCCTGATTGACTGTTTTACAATTAACAGCAAAATAAGAAATTAATAAATCAATATTTTCTTTTATCTAGCTCAAGCAACCCAAAAATACCAGAAATAAGTCATTCTTCCTTTTTTAAGCGTTATCCTTGACTTCTAAGCGATATCCTATGATTCTTTCACATCCTATTATCTGCATAAGAAGTAGGTGCAACATCATCTTTTTACTGTTATACAAGCATCACGTGATCAATTGATGCAGTGACATAAAATAAAAGGAAAAGTAGTCAG